TCTAAGTGCATAGGGTGAGCTAATGATTCTAGTAGCCGTGAACATTCTGTTGCACTGTTTGCAGGCTCAAGAGCCAAGGGGGCTGTAGTGGCTAGGATGATCTGAGCTTCTGCTGCGTATATATTGCCGCAATTAAACTCAGATTTAGCCATTTTCAATCTTTTTGCGGCTGGTGGCATATTTAAGCCGGGAGTTGGTGGGACAGTTCCAAGTGGTGTAGGTGGTTGCGCTAATGTAGCTGATGCACTTCCATCGGAACGTTCTTGGCGCTTGTCCATATCTGGTGTATGAGGTGCAGTAGAATTACGAGCAATTTCGACATAGGTACTAATCGGTGTTGGAAACAGCACGCACGTTGTCACTTTGAGTTTTGCTGGTGCAGGGACTATTTTGTTTTTTTGGGAATCGATCGAGGTGCCCGGCGCAGGCATATTCTCCTTATCTTGCTGAGCAGATGTCCTTGATTTCGTGAGGCCATCGTTACTTTGTTCTTTTGACGGTCTACTTTTATCTAGGTCGGGTCGAGGGTACGACGCATATGGGGACGGTGTAATATAGCTACTGAGTGTATGAATCGAAACACCTTCCTTGCTTCCTTCCTTCGGTTGAGATGAGGGTTGTTGGGGAGCAACAGATTTGTGATCGAGGATCTGGACAATCATGCAACCTTCGTAGAAAGCTACTTCGTTCAGTATAAAATAATCCACCAACTCATGAGGTATGGTTTTCTGTCTGAGGTGTTCCAGGAGTACTCTCATTGGAGAAGTATAAGAAAAACTGTTTTGTTGTTGATCGAATCGGAAATGCGTCGCGTAAAGGTGTATGATTAGGGAGGGGGGCTTTTGCGGTATTTATGAAGAATATAGTGCTCAGTTTTGACTAGGAGATTTTAGTATGTGTATGAGCCACTGACAGTAACAAGAGGTTTACCATAGGGTTGTGCTTGCGCAACTTGTTGTATAACGAATTCTTCTGCAACACTGCCTGATCTCATACCTGCACTATTATTTTTGATTCCTCGACCAAGTGTGTGCCCCGAACGATTTCGATTCGCAGATCGAGCTCCCGAAGAGTTTCCAGTGCCATTTGTTGTAGTTGAGTTTTGGAGATTTTTGGAACCGGATGGTAGTCTTCCAGCGGACATTGATGGGGACGGGGACGAAGTCGATGAATTGATGCCGTTTGTTTGAATAGACATAGGCCGTTTGACTTTATTAGTCGCCTGAGCGACCGATGCCGCAGGCGCCATTGTTGATGTTGAAACCTCAGCAAGATGTACTTCTGCTAAATTATCCAACTTGTCGCAATGGTCACTGTACTCTGCGCGATATCGATGCTTCGTTGACCTTTTCCATCTAATACGATCGATAGATTCTCTCGAGTAATTTGATGTATTCGGAGATGCGACTTTCTTCTATGCTTCAATTAGGAAGATATGAAAGGAAAATTATCGCGCTCCTATGATGCAATGTGATATCGAATCTGATGATTTCCTCGAGGGGAAGTTGGGGTGAGGTGTGGAGACCAGAGCCGCTAGAGTCCCAAGCGTGTGAATAAGGTTATGTCACCTGATGAATAGTACCCCCACCGCCTTTTCATGCCACATTCACGTTCTTTGTTTAATGACAACTCCACAGCATTAATAAGCGTCACTCTTACCCAAATCGACATTCATCATCTAAATTTTGGACCAACCGAACGCCTGAAAGCAGCTCACTCCAATTTCAAGCACAATAACGTATGAGTTAAACAGATCATCTATTGTTCAATTAAATCTACAGCAAAGAAAAGAATTATGAAAAATAATCTAAGCATGGTCCCGAGTGCACAACTTCTTTGGGAGGTTGTAATTGGAGGACATATCTCGGATTACTCTCGCGCTGAGTTCATGATCTGCGAACATCGCTTGACAGGCAGGATGAAATTATGTTTCGTTGAGAAGCTCCAGTAGTGCAGTTTACCAGAATATGTGAACATTGAGATGTATTTTGTGCCAAATCAAGCTCTCTCGAGTAAGTAAGGATTCGAGAATGGGTCGTCTCATGTTCTTGCACTACTGCAGTCGTCAGACATGGAGGAATTTTACCACGAAGGGAATCATTCATCATCATAAACGTCAGTCCAATTTAGGCATAATCTTTACTATTCGCCTCTCTTGAAGAATCCGGGGTAAGTCATGAGATCTGTTCCCTAGTAAATGTCAAGGTTGTACGACTTTATCCACGTTTCCTGTGATATTAGCCAGAATTGCCAAAGTGCGGCTTCAAGCTTCTGGTCCCTGGATGTTGAATGAGACCCATTTTAACGAACATTAAATGGTTAGTGAACTGAATAACCTTTTGACTCTTCTACTTTTGTTTTCCTCCGAAGATTTTTCGTATTGATAGTTTAATCCATAACTCAATTTGAGTTGAGCAAATTATATGATTGTGTGGTCTAATGCTTTTTGGTCATTATAGATTATTATACTAAGATATTATTATGTGATTTTCAACCACTTAAGTGAGTGGAATACATGTAAATGGGCCAGTCAGTCTTCAAGGAATCTTCCGGGGTTTCTATTTTTAAATTTAGTATCGTATTTTTTCATTTTATGAATTCTTGATCATTATTACACTTTGTATAATTACAAATCGCCTAATTTCAAATGTTCATTGGCAAAAAAGTGGGTAGAGCATCTTGGCTGTCAAGCAGCCACAAACCACCCTAGATATACTCCGTAAATCAGGGAGTTTGTTCGAAGGACCTTAGATCCTGAAGCTATACTACATTAGAATCTTTGTCCTCGTGCAGATAAATCCATATTGCGATTTTCTTAGGTATGGTCAATCTACTGAGCGCAGGGTCTACCTGGGCAACGTTCCCTATTATTCCGCTCAATGTTTCCACGAGTGAGCGCTTGTACCATGATACTTGTAATGGATTCTATATAAATATAAGACTTGCTCGCTCTCTGTTTCCTTCACTCAGCATTCAACACTATTCTAACTCTCTTACCTTTCACTCATCACCATGAAGTTCACCCAGTCCTTGGTTTCTTTAGCCTTGGCAACAGTTGCTGTTGCCTCTCCAACTCCTACTCCTACTCTTGAGAAGCGGGCTACAACAATCTGTGGCCAATGGGATACCGTTGCAACTGGCACTTATACCGTTTTCCAAAATCTCTGGAATATAACCGGTTTCACCGGTTCTCAATGCTCAACTGTCACTTCAGACACGAGCAATTCTCTTGTCTGGTCCACTAGTTGGTCATGGGCAGGAGGGTCTTCCCAAGTCAAGTCTTATGCAAATGTAGGGCTTAATATGGCAGCTAAGCAGGTTTCTGCTATCTCGACCATCCCAAGTACTTGGAAATGGAGGTTAGTTACTTCATATTTGTTCAATGAACCTAGCTGATCATGAACCCTCCTAGCTATACTGGCACTAACCTCGTTGCTGACGTTTCCTACGATTTGTTCTCCTCATCTACTGGTACTGGCAGCGCGGACTATGAGATCATGATCTGGCTTAGTGCCCTTGTGAGTATTCCATCACCATTGCTATTCTGAATTTGATTAGGTTGCGGAAACTAACGATTTTTAGGGTGGTGCAGGACCAATTTCATCCACCGGATCAACGCCCATTGCAACCCCAACAATCGCCGGAGTGTCATGGAAACTCTTCTCTGGACTCAACGGTGCCACCAGAGTCTATTCCTTTGTCGCTTCCAGCACAGTCAATAGCTTCTCCGGTGACTTGAAGACATTCCTTACATACTTGACCTCCAGCCAAGCATACCCATCCAGCCAATACCTCACGACGATTCAAGCTGGTACCGAACCATTCACTGGTAAGTCCATTCCTCAACTCATCTGGATGGGTGATTAACTCATGTAAAACAGGAAGCAATGCTGTCTTCAAGACGACTGCCTACTCCGTATCGCTCAAATAAATCCTTGATTAAGGATACAAGACATGCGAATCTGTCCAGAAACACGATAGTGCCCTTGAAGGATATGTATCTATATGGATGCGAAGGAACTTTGTACATAATTTCCTCTTCAACGTGTATTTTTAGAACTTTTGGGAACTGTATACATGTAAAAAGATTTTATGCACTGGCTACATCATAGCATAACTTGAAGATTTTTTTGTTCACTCTCCGACAAGTGAAACATTCCAAAATGCTCAACAAGACAATAGAACATGAATATTGATAAGAACTGTCACTCACTGTCAGTCCCTGGGCTAGTGAGTGCCTGAGCTGTGGATACATTTAAACTTACATCAAAACAACAGGTATAATAACTTTAATTCGTTTTATATTCATGATAGCATGATAGCAAATAATTTGACCTTAAACATAACACAACTTGCGTCGTAGATTTCAGATATTCGACTTTCATGAAATCTTTCAAACATGGGCTTCTGAAGATTGCAGTTGGATATGAACGTTGACCAGATTCGATGCCGTACTTTGGGTTGGACAATGGTTCGGAAGATCCAACATTCATTGCTAGAGTTAATGACATTGCATTTGGCTCTGGGCAATGATTGCATAGGGTTTCAGGACGCCATACAACTTGTACATTTTGAAGCATCAGTTCAAGCCAAAACATTGAAAGAATAATATTGACAGAATATCGAACCCATTTTAGATTCTAGATAGCATGATATTGCAATTTGTGTCTTAGATACGACAGGATTTGATCTGATCGTTCAAATCAACCTTGAAAGTTTGTATATTAAGATTAAGGTTAATGCAACATCGAGTTTTTCTTATCACAATTCAGTCTATCGAACTCTAATTATTGTTCCCGGCTCGGGTGATTCGGATAAACTTAGCAAAGTCCATACGAGATGCAATGGATGGGATCGGGAAGCCGAGAAAGAAAAGTCCGATATATCCAAGCTAGTCTATTTTTGGTAAAGTCTCTCCTCGCGTAATTTTGTCGCCCGCACTTTGGATAATTTTCATTTTCAACATCTCTTTTCGAAACTTCGAACCACGACAATTTCCATTCCGCCCAAAGAACTTCATCGACAAACCCTTCGAACATATTACCAAATACCGCAAAAATGGGTGGTGTCACTGTTCGCGATGTTGACGTAAGTATACACAATTCTACAAGCTGTGAAATTGGAAAGGAATGAACTTGAGAACTCGATTTGCGACCGCGAATTAGAATCTCAATCACTTACACCAACCCATTTGATCAATCTTGAATTTCGCAAACTACCTTCTCTCGTCGATAAATGAGCAGGTGTGAGGGGGTCGAAAGATCTCCGCTGACGGAATTATGCTGATTCGACGGGTTAATTCAGGCACAAAAGTTCATTGATGCATATGCTGCTTTCTTGAAGAGACAAGGAAAGCTCCCAATTCCAGGTACGTACTGATTTATGCATCTCAATCCCAATTTTTCACCTTCGCGCAGACCTGCGCTCGATATTTACAAATCACTAACGAAGATACTTTCTTCTGCAGGTTGGGTTGATACCGTCAAGACCAGCGCATCCAACGAGCTCCCACCTCAATCTATCGACTGGTACTACGTTCGTGCTGCTGCCAACGCCCGTCACATCTATCTCCGCAAAACCGTCGGTGTTGGCCGTCTCACCAAGGTCCACGGTTCCACCAAGAACCGTGGTTCCAGACCATCCCACCACGTTAACGCCTCCGGATCTGTCGACCGTCACGTTTTGCAATCCCTCGAGAAGATCGGTGTTTTGGAACAAGATGAGGAGAAGGGAGGTCGTCGTATCACTCAATCCGGACAACGTGATTTGGACCGTATCGCACAAACCACCGTTGAGGCCGATGAGGAAGAGGATGACGAGTAAATTATTTACATCATGGTCTGGGAATGGGAAATCTTTACGGGGTTTGGGCTATATGGTGTATCACATATAAATAAAAGCTCGTCCTAAAGCACTTTGCTTTTCATTATACCCCATTTGTTATTACGGTTAACGTGGACGTGAAGGAAGTATCATTTTGAATCTCATCAATCAACGCTTTGAACCTGTGACTTTCCTAACTTTCGCTCAATCACAACTATTGGTATTGAAAATGCTTACAAAGTTTTGTAAATTCATCAGTCTTTGGCTTATTGAAAGCAATTTTCCGCAGTTGGCATCGGGTAGTCTCATGTCACATCAGTACTTGATATGTTGTATGCCCTGTACTCCCCAGCCCATATCCTGTAGTCTGTATCCCCATCTCTATGCGACTCTTTATGTAGAGAAATCCATAAATATGAATTTATTCAATCAAGCTCACGACCGATTTGAATACTCGATATTTGTGACGTTCAATATCAAATGATCTCAAACATTCAAATAATTTAGAGGTCGAAACTTTGACACGATTTGAGACAATCAATTGATAGAATATTAAAGCACTGATGAATTTACCTCAATCCATGAACTCAATAAGGATATCTTATCGATTTCGAATATGTATTAATTCATTTGAGATGTTGAACATTTGGGCCGATTGCTTGCTCTGCAATTTATTCTGGAAAATGTTTGGACCAACTCTGGGTTCTGGTTCCAATATGAAAATTTCAACACATGAGTTAAGATTTTGAGGCCCGCAACAAAGCTCTCGAGATTCCTTTGGAGCAATGAATCTATACAGAGTAGCAAGTACGTGGGTAGTCTTGAGCTCTTTAAACGTTCTTGATTCATTGCATACCTACCTTGTTTTGGAACCTGCCTTTTCCTTTTTCTTCTCCTTGCTTTTCCTCCTCTTTTCCGAGTATATCTTTCTCTTTTCATCCTCTCTCAATCAATGGAAAAAATGAAGCCGAAACTCTTCATTTTTTCTTAGCATTAGAACATCAAATCATACTTTACTTTCTGGTAGTGATATCAATGAGATATGTTGCTATATAAACGTAATGTTGGAGAAATTTAAGTTTACAGCAAAACCTCGGCATGATGGTTTTCTCACAGACTCTAAAGCATAAGTTAGAGCCATGCATCCCTTTTGAACGCGACTAGATGTTAACGTTTGAATTCAATGCTGCTTTCTGAGTTACTATCTAATCAATCCGTATATTCTGAGGAATGAATAAAAGCCTTCCTTGCGGTCCCTGGGAATGAAACCACATTCTTCATGGATCGTTACTTGTACACATCACATGTTATACGCGTGCCAATCCATGTCAAACGCTACACCTGAAATTCAAATGATGATCTTTAGATTCTTGTCGCTCCTGCCCTTTATAGGAAGGTTTTGATGTCACAATGCACTTGCTAGGCTCTCGCATTGATTGATGTAGCACTGCATCAATGATACGAATGTGATTGTTGATAACCCCGCGTTGAAAACAAGTACCGGTACTCGAACTTTATAACAGTGGCATGTCTTCACCCGTTTACCAACAGTTTTATGAACGCCTACATTATCGTTTGTCGTTGTTCTTCAATATGAAACCTCAGAAATACTTGGAAGCTTATATTGCCCTCTTACTGTCATCTCCTGCAATAGCTCAATGGAGCACCACAAACACAACGTCAATCTCGAGTACATTTGACCCGCTCCAGTACGTTAACCAACTCATCGGCACTGACAATGGTGGAAATGTTTTTGCCGGTGCTACCCTTCCATATGGAATGGCTAAAGCGGTCGCTGATGTTAATGGTCAAAATACCGCTGGGTTCTCAACGGATGGCAGCAATGTAACTGGATTCTCACATATGCATGATTCTGGTACAGGAGGAAATCCTTCCTTGGGCAACTTCCCCTTGTTTCCGTCGTACTGTCCCGATGATGTGGTTGACAATTGCAAATTCTTAATCACAGATCGAGCTACACCATATGTGTTGAATTCTGTGGTGGCCACGCCGGGATATTTTGGAATAAATTTAACCAACGGCATTCATGCAGAAATGACAGTTTCAGAGCATGCTGCTCTTTATCACTTCAATTATCCTGTAGAGAAGTCTTCGAATGGGACGGCTTTAAGCCCGCTCATTCTTATGGATCTGACAGATTTGAGTGCCAGTAGACAGAACGCAACCATAAGCGTGGCTGACGACGGACGTATAAAAGCAAATGGGACTTTCATTCCAAGTTTCGGTGGCGGTTCATACATGTCATATGTTTGCGTTGACTTTTCCGGGTCAAGTATCCTGGACACAGGAATTTGGGTCAACAATAGAGCAGGAACACAACCAAAGGAATTATTCGTCACGAGAGGTATAAATCTCTTCTACATTCAAGCGGGAGGATTTGTTCGCTTTAAACCACCAACTGATAGAACTATTAGCGCTAGAGTGGGCGTTAGTCTCATCAGCTCGGATAAAGCTTGTCAGAATGCAGAAAATGAAATTCCTGATTGGGACTTTGCTAGGCTGAAGAAGACAGCCGAAAACGCATGGAAGAAGAAACTGAGTGTTGTGACCATAGATCCTGGCAATGGTAGTGACACTTCACTATTGACCAACTTCTATAGTGCAATTTATAGGACTATGATGTCCCCGCAAAACTATACGGGGGAGAATCCCTTATGGGAAAGTAGCGAACCATACTTTGATTCTTTCTACTGGTAAGAGGTCAGGTTAATTAGGTTGAATTAAGAAGTACTAATGTTTTCACAGTATATGGGATGCATTCAGATCTCAGCTCCCATTTCTCACTATCGTCGATCCATCTGCCCTATCAGAAATGATCCGTAGTCTTCTCGACACTTACCAGAACCTTGGCTGGCTTCCAGATTGTCGTATGAGTCTCTGTAAAGGGTTTACTCAAGGTGGTTCAAACGCCGATAATGTCATATCCGATGCATATGTGAAGAATCTCACGGGTATAGACTGGCAACTAGCATACGAAGCTGTGGTAAACGATGCAGAAAACGAACCACTAGAATGGTCCAACGAGGGCCGTGGTGGTCTCATGTCATGGAAAGCTCTGAACTATATACCCTACCTCGATTATGACTATTCAGGTTTTGGTACGAACTCTAGAAGTATTTCTAGGACCTTGGAGTATTCGTATAACGATTTCTGTATCTCGACTCTCGGGAAAGGTTTAGGGAAAACCGAATATACAAAATATTTGTATCGCGCGACAAATTGGCAGAATTTGTGGAAAGAAGATCAAATTTCGTCTATTAATGGTGTGGATACAGGATTTACAGGATTCTTCCAGCCGAAATATTTGAACGGGACATGGGGGTATCAGGATCCGATACTTTGTAGTCCGTTGGATTCCTTTTGCAGTTTAACAAGTAATCCACAGGAGACTTTTGAGGATAGTATTTGGGAGTATCAATTGTAGGTATTTTCTCTCTTGGTGTGGTATCTTTTACTGACAATTGAAAAGTTTTGTGCCACATGATATTGCGACTCTAATCGATCGGGTTGGTGGGCCAGAGAACTTTATCGCTCGTCTCGATTATTTGCATACAAGCGGTCTAACAGACATCGGAAATGAACCTTCGTTCTTGACAGTGTTTCTTTACCACGTTCGTCTCCCCCTCTACCCGTTACATACCTCGCTAACCCCTCGCTAGTACGCTGGTCGTCCTGCCCTCTCAGCATCCCGTGCCCATATGTACATACCCGCCTATTTTAATACGTCAACCACTGGATTACCTGGCAACGATGATACCGGCGCTATGGCCTCCTTTGCTGCATTTTCAATGATGGGACTGTTCCCCAACCCTGGACAAAATGTCTATCTAATCATCCCGCCCTTTTTCGAGTCTCTGAGTTTTACAAATGAGAATGGGAAAAAGAGTACGATCAAGAACGTTGGATGGGATGGAGGTGTGAGGAATGTTTTTGTACAGAGTGCGAAGGTGGATGGAGTGGTGTGGAATAAGAGTTGGATGTGAGTTATCCCCTAACGATGTAAGACTGAGAGTGTGATGTGCTAATTTCGCGTGAATATAGTGGACATGAATTCTTCACGGAGGGACAGACGTTGGAATTGTTCTTAGGAGATACAGAGAGCGATTGGGGGACTAAAATGGAGGATTTGCCTCCTAGTATGAAAGTTGGTCATATGAAGCTCTAATCGAAGGACTTGACACGAATTCAGAGAGTGTCGACGTTTCAACTTTTTAAACTGTTCAAGGTCTACTTGACATCTTGAGAAAATTCATGGTCCCAAGTTTGAAAGCAATTAAGATTATAAATTCTCTGATCGTCCAGGACAGTCCTCAGATCTATATAAACAATTTACAGACTAATGGATAATTACTCCAATAATTTCTCTATAAATTCTGTTCCTTTATTTGATTTCCGAAATGCTTCATTCAGAAATATAGAAAGTAAGTTGTTTTATCTACAACCCCTTCATTTAAATTTGGACGATTGTGAAGATATGTACATATAAACCATGTGTGCGGATAAAGGTTGTATTCATTGCCTCTGACCTCTTCGTTCAAAGTAGGAATGCTAAACTACCTGATTTCCCCGTCCGACTGTGCGAAAGAATACACCACACACGCAATTTGTGTATGAGAGTGGGGTGAAATATGGTGTATGTAGATATCTCGCATGTCGTTGTTTCGAAATCTACAGCTATCTAAAGGTATATATGGAGTTAAGTTTAATAAAAGAACGAGAGCTTTTTCATAAGGTTGCTACAGATGTACTGTCAAGCAAAACCATCAATTTCTTTAGAATTTTGATAGGCTTACGTTTGAGTATATTTTTTATATATATCTTTGAGTTCGAAGATTGTGAATATAAAATAGAATGTTGTATATAGATAGTAATCGCTCTGTAATCGAATTTATACGAGAAAAAGGACGATATCTCTGTTGAAAAGCTTTCACTCAATCTTTTGATATTATATAAAATTAAGATACTTAATGTTATATCATCTAATATATATCAAAAAGATTAGAATCAATATGAAACGAGCTTATTACTGGGATAAAAAATGATTGGATGTACCAAAAATCATCTTTGATGATATTTACAACAACTCGATTTCTAGGATTTTTTATTCTTTATTTTCAAAATACTCTTCGAGGGAGAAAAAATTATTACATTTGGAATTCTCTTCTTCAGAGCTATATGAAGATATATTCAAAAGTAAATTTATCAAGATTCTAAAAAAGAATTATTCAAAGATGATGGTTTTGCTTGACGGCGCCTGTATGTTCGGACATGTTCAGTTGTAGCTCAGAATGCATTCGGCCAGCTTTTGACTATTTTCTCCAACGGCTCAACAACACTTGCATACACCGCTTGTGTAAACCTCAAATTATCCCAATTCGCTTTTTCTTCAAAGATACAAAACATACAACATTTTATAACATGTTCCAATGCTGGCTCTTGCTCACATACCGCGTCGGCCCACTCTAGAGCAGTGAGATAGTTTGTGCTTGCATGCTCTTTTCCATCGACGAGAAAAGCTTGCCGGATCGATTGCTCCTCGATGCGTTCCCCGAAACATAGTTCGAGTAATACAATGCCGAGATCGTTGAGTGATTTCTTGACGGTGGTGGTGGAACTGCTGAAGTTTGGAAGTTGTCCTGATGGTATAGTTTGGGACTTTGTGGAGAGAAAGGAGTGAGTGAGATGCGGTTGGTCGATTAGAACTTTGTGATTATTCCAATCGCATGGAAAGAGGATGTAGCGCTTTTGCAGGCTGTTAGTAAGCCAAGGAGCGTTCTGAAGCTGTAGTAATGAGGAGGCCAGTATGTATGCAACTTTGTATCTTTCATAGCGGTTGAGGGGAGAAAATTTATCGGGCTTTGAGAGAATAGTTTCAAGGCTGATGAATTTCTGTTCATAGAGACCTCGAGCTACGGGGTTATCTTCAGGAATGCGGAATACGTGGGAATTCTGATGCTCGTCGGACAGATACCCCAAGTGACAGTTGGATGTACCTCGAGAATCGTGAATAACTTTGCATAGGTCGTTTATCTTGATGTCTTTTGGCGTTGTGAGACTTTGTGGGATCGAAGGCGAGACGATTGAGCTAGTTCGCATACAAAGGTCTATTGCTGGCGCAAGTGGCGTGGGGTTCAAAATCTCGGGGGGTATATGAATTCTGACGGACTTTTTCGCTTTTGACTTGAGTCCAGATAACCATTTCCTAAAGCCAGTATTAGTAAGGGCGTTCTCAGGTCGAATGTTTAATCAAACGTATTGAACCTAAAAACGAAAAGATTATATATGTCCATTATGAGGTCTTCGAGTGAGTCCTCCCGAGATAATCAAGCCATCTCAGAGATTGAATTAATCTGAGGATCGAAATCATGTAGGAAATCCAAATAGGTTGAGAGTTTCAAAGAGAATCTCTGTCCAAAAGCAACTGAGCGTACTGTCATGAAAACGCATGCGCTATTTTTGGAATTCAGAGAAAGAAGATCCCAGCGATAACTTACTTTGTATGGTTTTCTTCTATGATCACGTTCGTTGAAACGGATGTGAGTGCTGCTGAGTGATGAATCGAGAGCGATCCCTGAGAGCTAGATTGAGATATTGTAGAAGACGAAGGAGATGTGGGAATAAGTATTGACTTCGTAGTAATGTTTACCTCTGGGGTTGGGTTTGACTCGAAATTTCGCCGCAGTCTCTCCCGTCCAACAACCGCTGCAGAAGGGTGTAGAAGATGGTCAACACAGCTATCAATTTGTGTACTGGCTGGCTTTGCACTGACAACAAGCTCCCGCCGCTCATAAGATTTTCGTGCAGACCTTTCGATATCTTCCGGATATTCGAATAATAGGTTAAATAACGACGACCAGTCTCCCGTGGTACGTTGCTGCAATCGAAGAGAGACTCTGTGAGGCTCTCGACAATCACAATTCCAACCGTCTTTGAGAGCCGTGTGTAGACTTTGCGCGTGCCTTCTTATACATCCAAATATATTTGCCAAGGCCGTATCTCTCTTGACGGACTTCATACTGTCTAATTTATCATTAGAATCCAGCAGCTCCCGAAGTTTCCGATTATGCTTTTCAAGGGCCTCAACAGTTATCGTGCCTCTTTTACTAAAGCTATGGCGAATCCTCTTCAGTTGATAGTCCCAGCTACTGGCTCCCTCGTCTGCCCAGTCAAACTGTAGCTATATTAGTATACATTCCTGTAAGAAGGAGTTTCAATTATCTGAATTGAAGCTTGGTAATGACAAGCTTTCAGTTCGCCGAATCCGATTGAAGTATTCAAATCGTTAGAATTGTTGAATCCTTCTCGAGTGTTGCATTTGATTCAGACATTTGATAACTTCCATACGAAAAATAAAGAACTTTTCGAACATGAAATTCTGCTCAATGATTGGACATTCATCGAGAATTGATAGCTCACATCTATTCTGTGAATCTGGTGTGTCGCGTGTTCTGGACAAGGAATAGTTTTCTTTTCTCACCTTTCCATCTTTCAGTGACAACATGCTTTCCAATTCTGCCATGAGTTCGTTCATGGTCCTAATCGAACCAACAAATGCTTCATAGGAATGGCCTAGACGCGACTTCAGGGTCATAGCTAGATCTTTTTGGTGCCATCCGTGATAATTCGGGTCCGTAAGGAAATGGTGTAGCTCATCCTGGGAAACCTCGGCCGAAATAAGAAATCGCTCCAGCATCTGATCAAACAGTTGTTTCTCAATATCGATAGCATCAATGAAGCGTAGGAACTCTGTGCGAAATCTTTTCCATCTCACCAAAGGCTCCCAGCCTTCTTTGTAGTGCTCAGCAGCAGAAACTAAGAGAGGGAAGCCACCGAGAACCAATCCTGCAATCTCAATTCCGGACATACTGACAATTGGCTATGAGCAACCGAATGAAAGCAGGCAATTGAATGTAGCCAGATATTGAGAGTATGTCCCCAGACTCACGATCATTGTAAAGAATTTGTCTGATAACGTTGGCGCAAAAAATGAAGAATGGGGACGTCAGCTTCTACCCCATGTCAATATCCTTGTCCACGGTGGGGTAACCTCAAGATTTCATTCCAAGGCTGCGTGATTACTGGGATTTTTATAATCTTGAGAGCCTTCCAGAAACCTACAACGATGGTGAGGTCAGAGATTTTGCAAATTGAGTAGAGTTTGCCATCATAAACAACAGCACATGGAGACGTTGACTTCCTACGCACAGGCTACGGCAGGACGTCCCTCCAGTGATGACAGTGTCAAAATGGGGGCTGTGATTGAAGCCCCAGCACTTGGTCAATCGGAAGGAATTCATTTCCGTGCTGTGGACTGTAGGAAACGTTTTGAGCATAGTATCCAGATACTTAAGGAAATCAGTCCTTCCGAGGCCCTCAACCAGCAATTTGATCGCGATTCGTCGCTTTTTACGATACGGGAAACATTTGCACACTATAAAGCTTGGGGTAACAATATTGCAGCGTTCCAAAACGTTATGATTCGAAGCTCGCTCGAGTTTCGCCTAAGAGAAGCTACAGAGATACAACAAAGAGTTCTGAAAATCCTAGCTAATCTTCAAGTGTCGTTGTACGAGGGTAAGGAGAACCATGGACCCTATGAATCTAGCTGACTAAACCCAGCTGCTTTGATTATCACTGGCAAGGAACCGAATGAGTCATGGCCTGCTGAGGAACATAGTGACTCCGACAATGAGGAACCAGACTCGAAGCCAGAACAGACTTCAGAGCTACAGGAGCTGTTTAAAGCCATGAGAGATGCAAATACGAATCTTCTCAAGCTTTCTATGGTTATTCGAAACTCCCCAGATCGGGATGACTACCTCAAAGCTGCTACGAGATATGGATTTGATGCCAGTTATGATATTGGGCACGTGAGAGAAAAGCACGGTTCTGCAAAGAACAGTGCTGATTGGCTGATTGTGCGACTTGGAAAGGCCATTACACGGCGACGCCAATACTTGAAATATCGTAATGATCATCATGGGAAACTTACGAGAGACTGGGACGATGTTATGATCAATGAAGAAGAAGACAAAACAATTGCTTTAACCAAAGCAACAACTTTTGTTGAGAACACTACGGCAGTCCAGACACATGGATCGGATTTAGGTGGCTCTTTCGGCTCGCAGACTTCTTATGAGGCTACAACTATGGGGGAGTCTACAGGAGTATTAAATGTACCATCTCATCCAAAAATGGGATTTGAAGACGTGCCGTTCCAGTTTGGTAGCCCCTTTCAATGCCCATACTGTTTGACAGAACAGGTGGTCAAGAACCGCTCTGCGTGGAAGTAAGCATCTCGATTTCCGATTATCTTCCAAAAAAATTTAAACCCTAACAGTAATACAGAAGACACGTTTTTAGAGATCTGAAACCTTACGTATGTACTTTCAAAGGTTGTGATCAGAGAATGTTCAGTAGCCGCAATGAATGGTTTGCGCACGAACTTCAAAATCACCGAAGGGAATGGGCTTGCCAACAATGTCAACACGCCCCATTCTCATCCTCATCAGCATATGAAGTTCATTTAAATTCGTGTCATCAGGTTGAGCTCAAAGGGTCTCAACTCAAAGCATTGCTGCTGCAAAGCGAAGAACCAGTGGATAAAGTATCTGCCACGGCGTGCCGACTTTGCGATCAATGGGAAACGAATATTGAAGACAAAGAGTATGATTATAAACGATTATTTCCTGATAAGGGACAACCATCTCAATCTCATGGGACTAGTAGGCAGTTCAGAAGACACTTAGGGCGACATATGGAGCAATTAGCTTTGTTTGCATTGCCTATGAATGAAGATGCAATGGAGGACAATAGCCTGAGTGAAGAAGAACATTACGAAGAATCATCGGCTTCCGTCGTAAAATCAACAGAAATTGGCAATGGCGGCCTTATTGACACCTGGTCTCCCGGGCTCCCTGTTGACAGTGGCGTGGCTCCAAGAGAGCTAGAAGTTCCCACAAATAGTATCGAAGTCGAACTTGACGATACTGCGCCCAGTGGCCGAGATCCAGGTTGGACACAAGTATCAGATCTTGCAGAAAGCGCGAGACTACAGAACCGTATTAAGCAGGGAGTGTGTAAGTGATGCTCAATGCATGTTAACTTTCAGAGATATTGATTATTCTTTAGATCGTGAGCTAGAGCCAGAGTTCGAGGCTAAGTACAATGTAAGATTTTCTGACCCGATCCGCCCCGAAGATATTACATATGCTACTAGAAAAAATGGTGAATTAGAGCTATCGAAAGAAGAGCTTCACACCGCATACTCAAAGTCATCACCCTCATATCATGACGGCCTTGATTCAACAGAAGATGAATTCGGAAATGACGCGCAGATAAAAACACACACCGACCACCCTGAAGTCAATGCGGATGATGCAAAAAATAGAAATTTGGCTCATTTGTGGCCGGAAAACAGCGCTGAATCTGTGTTGCCTACGTGTGAGAGATGTGGCAAGAGTTTGACAAAAGTAAGTATTTCATAACATTAAAATTGTGTTACAACAGACTAATCTATCTAGTGTGACGGCAAAAAGCCTTGCGGTAGTTGTGTTAGCATGGGGCGTTCAGAAGAAGAGTGTTTATACAAACCACAAGCTGAGAGTGCGAATACGACGATTGATATAAATACACTGAGGAAGGAACGAATGAATTGTGTTATTGAATGCTCTAATAGAGCAGTTGAGCATGACACCAATCAAGACTATGCAGCCGCCAAAGAGGCATACCTTGAAACATCTAGACTGTTAGAAGCATGTCTCGATTCGAATTCAACTGAAGAGGACAGAGAGAAGATCAGTGGAATCGTAAGCTAAGCTTCGGATAATCTCGCTGTTGTAGCTAACCAAGTCCAGAAAAAAGCATACGATTCTCGCCTTCAAGTACTCAGAGAACTTACGGGGGATCGTGATTACCATGATACATGAGACATTTCTTTCTTTCGAAGCGACCAAAGAGCAGATCAACTTTTCTCGAGATTCTGCCGTATTTTGGCATGGATGGGCACGCAATACTGAGTTTTCTGTCACGAAAACAAACCCATGGTTTACAATTCGCTTCGAATTTGCTTCAAATGTGCTACACATTTTGAGATAACTCTTCAGGCTATCATTTCAAGATGGATTGGAAATTGCTTCAAGGGCTTCAAAAACTACCTTCAGGAGATTGCGAGGATTGAATAGCGAGTTTCTAAAAGGCAAATTCGGAGGGATAAATACTGAAGAAGCTAAGATTAAGTTGCAGAATAGCATAATCAACATGGAAGGTTAAAATTATCTCTCCTGTAAACTCAAGATGATACCCTGTAAAGTATAAGGTCGGTGACTTGGGTTTGTGGGACTTGTAGCTATAAAGTAATGACTTTTTCTTGCTCATTGGATATTGGGTTGGTTCTCGTGAGATGTCGAACTCCTTTACTCTTGATTTCTCTTCTTAAGCTCTTCACCTCGAGACTCCCAAATCAAGCTCCCAGCCAGCAGACCTGCACACAAACCCTCAAAGACCGCGACTTTTCTCCACGGTCCAGCGTCAACCCAAAAGATCCCAACAGCAATCGTGCGTCCAACAACTGACAACCACATGGCAAGCTTGTCTCCTCTCTTTGCAGCGACGATGTAGAGCGAGCTATTGTGCATTGCCATGATCAGCATAGCAGAGGAATTCCGATCTTCAAGATCAGATGAAGAAATTTTAGTGTTCTTACCCTATTGACAGACATGATAGAGCTAAAACATGAATAGCGTGTTTCGAGTCCGTCAGCAACATTTCGGCATTTTTCCTTGCGACTGTAGAAGATAAAAGAGGGGCGGCTCCATTCAAGAAATTGAAACAGCCCTGGGTCGCAAAAATGATTGATGACAAAGGAGGCATTTCTTGAGCTTTGAATCCTGCAAATGAATCATTTGGGCAACATTGCGATTTATATATTCCTGGAGTGTAGTACAATGCTTTCCAAAAGCGATAACTCGTGATCTTTCAGCGCAAATAAAACAATACCCGTGGCGGGGAACATGCCGAAAATGACTACGGGGTTTGAATCTCAAGCCAGAGATTGAGTATGTGGTACGATGAATAGAATTTTATAGCCTATCGGGAGGCACGGTGGCTTATGTTTTCCGTGGGTCGAATCCTTCCATATTTTTCGCTGGTTAACCTCCTGACTTAAATAAGTTCAATTCTGCCCGTACCATGCCATTCTCTCCTTGGAATTGCTCCGAAGGGTCCTTGAACTCGGGCATTATCCGATTTCCCAGTTCGTCCATTAAATCGTGTTTTTGGCATGATAAATCCCAGAGATGCTATTGATTCAGCAATGCTGTTTCCCACATTTCTGATTTGACGATAAAGCTAGGCTGGAGGTGGCTTAGAGCCTAAACTCGGCTAGATGACCCCTGAAAGTGGGATTGCCTAAGAAAGTAAGAGTCGATAAATCGTTTGAATTCTATTGGATGATTCTTATCGATTTCTTATAGTGAAATCCATCAATCCGACATGTCCAACTGTTGACCTGCCACCTTTACTTGTCAGCTGTGACGAGTGGAGGAAGATTTGGGTTCCAACAAAGCCAAGGATGGTAGCTCTTAAAAACGCCAAACAAAGGATACGACGAGAAACAAGGCGACGACGTGATTACGATATACTCTAGAAGATCGGAATTACCATTGACATTTTCTTCTTATTTAGAAAGTCATTTCCGATATCATCTTTCTGTACTTACTTCTCGAACCTCTCGCTCAAGTGTACGACAGGTTTTCGAGGGAATTTCTCCGAGCCCTTCTTTGGAAAATGAAATCGCTGTGGCCGATATCAGCGAGCCGACGAGACGCGAGGAAAACCAACAATAGAGAGATGCGGAAATGTATACCAAATTCTCCATTGTGGTCTTGATCTCAATCGTACTGTGCTTAGCAACTTTTTGCATAGCATTAGACAACACACTAACTTCGACCACTGTCGTTCGAATCACCCAAGATTTCCACAGCATTGACGATGCGGGTTGGTATGCAGCGTAGGTACCTTCATAACCAATTTTCTTTAAAACGATGATTGGACATTAACAGAGACCGAATAGAATTTATCCATTGACGTCCTGCGCATTCCAGCCGTTTTTCGGCAAGATCTACACACTCTTCTCTAGTAAACTTGTCTTTCTAGCATCACTGCTAATATTCGAGATTGGAAGTATTGTATGTGCTACTTCGCTGACTTCTCATGTTTTCATTCTTGAGCAGGCGTTGGCAGGCCTTGGATCTGCCGGAACATAAGCAGGCACTACACTCATGCTGACCCTCACTCGGCTCTAGGCGGCGGAATGACGGCTCTTCCTGGCGATTCATCTTCTCAGGAATCAGCAGAATTGCGGGCAGTGTATAGTGTTGCAATCAAAGAAGCTTCATGCGTTGGACTTCTGTTAGCAATATCGATCGTGGGCGCTCTGATATACGATTGGAAAAGTTTGAAGACTAAGTATAACGATGGGAGTGGTGAAAGTAATAGTGATAATGAGCTCGACCAATTCGCAGAGCTTTAAACAAACTATGGAATGGAAGGATTAGCAATACGAACACTGACTTATTAGTGTCTGTGGTGGTCGGTGGTGTACCGAGAATTGAGTCAAGGAAGCCACTTGCACTTTAACATTGCCATGTTTCAAATCTATGTACAAAGTTTTGATGGAAGATTTTGATAATTCGAAATGACCCCAAAAGATGTAAATATGTGTAAAAGATCATGATAGATATCATAATATATCTAGGTAGGGCTAGCAAAAGAAACGAAAGTCGGTAGTGTAATTGAAAAGACTTCATTCTTCTCGACTACAAATGTTGCTTACTCATGCGGTCAGAAAGCATGCAACTCCGGCGCTATGAAAACTAGATCAGTCCTCTTATAGTTTACCATCCTACGGTATGTGCATCTAGCGTCGAAGTTGCATACTTTCTGACCACACGAGTATCTTCTTACCACAAACCTAAGCGTTACTGTGACTATTATCCATGTGCTTTTCTTCAACTTCAAAGCGACAAAAGATGTATTTCGTCTGCTGCAATGGGCAAGCGTCCAACGAAAAGGCTAATATATTGTGATCTCCGAGAAAGTGGAATTAGATCCTCATTGCCAGCAGATGCTTTTGTACAAGGGGGTGCCTTCTTGGTAGTATATATTAACTGGGCTTATATCGGTAGCTGTTAGGCTCTCCCGCATCTACATCTTCCAATCAACCTTGCCCCGGTGGGTTTTTTGCATTGTCTGCGCTTTGTCTTTCTTTTGCACACTGTCCTTAGGGGCTATGGCCGAATTGATTTGATTCGAACTGCCCATCGCCAGTGTAATTCAAGTCATTAGATTGGTGGCTATCTTCATATAGGCAAATTCGTTGCCAACAGGTACTTCCTACTTTTCGGAGCCAGTTCTGAGAGCCAAGCAATTCTTCTTATCCAAAACTTAAAGTTGGAGCAGTATGGTAAATCAAGTGTACTTCCAAATTATAGGCACCATTCTTGGCGCTTTCATCAATTACATCTTGATGAGTGTTACAATGACCAATCAATGTGAGATGCTGCTCTCAACTCAAGGTACTCATGTCTGGTCTAGCCAACTCAAACGTCGTTCAACTCCAATATAAGTCTTTCCCTTTCCTAAAATTATTACAAGACCATGACATTTTACTCCAAGGCTGTCGCATTTGGCGCACTCTCGAAATATCTGTTCGGTGTTGGCTATGAATAAGAGTGGATTGTCCTCACACTATTATTCAGTCTACTTGTTCCTCTATCATTCTATCTGCTGCATAAACAGTGGCCTACTAGTGGGATTGACTATATCATTGCACCAGTCATTTGCTAGTATCCCGATTATCTCGCCACTGGCGTCAACTCTTCTATCATAGTGAAGTGTAATTATCTATTCGCGGCACCACCCATCAGTAGAGGACCAAAATCTTTGGTTCACATCACAACATTTTCTGTGCAGAGTGCTAATGGGAAAGCGACACCATCTCCTCCATATTAGGAAAACAATTACTAAACTGATAATTTTGGCTATTGTACGACAAACCAGGCTTTGACTTAAGAGGGATAGAGAGTATTTATTGAATGTAAAGGTAGCAGAAGTTTTTCCGGATTTGGTACACTGTAAAAAGTTATAGTTTTTTGACTACGCAAAATTATCTCAGGGTTATATGATTACACAATAATTCGCATCAATTCACACCGGGAAAGGACGATCTACGGGGAAGGAAGATAAAACTCATCGTGCGGCAAGGGTAATATGTGAGACAAGCTTTACTATTAAGCTTTTCTGAAGGTTCTCGGACATTGTCTTCTTTGAAAAACATCCGAACAGTGACACGGACTTTATCGGCACTTATGCCCCTACAACACAGCCCTATGAATGTATGTTTACCCCTGTGAAGATCCAGATTTTTACCGCTAGAGGGCGTCTATGGGCTTTAGGTCCTGTCGTATCGGTATTCGCTTCAGGCATTCCGCATCAGGCACGAAATTTACCCCCACACGAAGAAGCTTGCATAGAAGATTCCAAACTCTATTCCCATCCGAGGCTTTCTTCGTGAAAATCACCATAATAATGTGTGTTTGAGTAGGAATTGGTCTAGCATAGCCATGCTTGCGGTGAAGTATGCGGCTATCACAACCTCGTTTAAGGTTTTGCTGCATCTCTGGAAGCTATATCGGGGGTTTCGACTTTTAATCCTTGCATACAGGGTACGTTTGGGATTTTCTCGAGTCTTCATATATTCTCAGAGGAGAATGCTGATTTCGATTTATCTACTCACATGCTCTATCTTATTTCAATAGCTGAAATCACTAAATAAAGGAAAATGAAGGTTAACCAAGGCAGACCAATTCGCTGGCATGCGCTCCTATCATTGATTCTGTCTACAATATCATTCGCGTTGGGCCTCATCACAATATTTTCGGGTTCAAATAATGGGGCTTTAGAAGGTTATTATTTTTTGAGGGCAAGTCGTTCCCAATAAATTCATAGAAACTCCTCTGATGTTGAATAGTTAAAAACAGCCAATCTCGGTCAAAGTTTGGTAGAATTTGCAGCAGTCAATTCTACTACAGCAAATACCACAAGCATAATCGATATATCTGCTCTGGACACCCGCGCTTTATCGTCAGATTCGATAGAAAAGAGAGATGCAGCATCCGATTTCGCCACAGCATTATTCGGTAATGTTATCAAAGAAGTCAAGAACATCGCGAAGAAGATTGAAGCTGGCGATAACGATGGTCTCAACGAAGCCGAGAAAGTTTTGGTCTCGAATATCACAGATACTGTTGGAGTTGCAGATTTCTACAGTTTACATGTAATGAAAATATGCCGAGGAACTATTACAACAGGGGACAAATGGGTCGTTGATGGCTGTTCGAATTATTCTCAAGCTTTGAAAGGTAAGTAAAAATTCAACGACTCAATCCCACACGCGAGATTGACACACTGAGCTAATCTATTGAAAAGGCTTGACACAACTCACCTCATCTACTCCATCTACCTTCCGTATCGTCAATACTACTCTTACTGTTCCACTACTTGGTCTTGCTACCACCGCAATGCCATTTACTGCCGGAATGCTGAACATTGGCACCATTGCCATCCTCGTTCTTTATGGGCTAGCGTTAATCGGATCGGGCGCTACAATTTTCCTATCAGCAATCTATATGTTCAAACCCACAGCTCGCATCGTCTACTGCGCTCTCTTCTTTTCCTTCCTCGCATCTAATTTCACAATGACTGTTACGCTGAATCTAACAGCCGTTACCAGCATGGTGAACCAGATGGTCTCGTTAGTAGGGCCTGCTCTAGGTATCGAAGCTTCTGTTGGGGGTGCGTTCCTAGGGAGCTCATGGATAGCCGCCATATTCGCATTGATATTCAATCAGTATTGGATGATGGTCTGGCTAGTAGAAATCAGAGGCTATGGATTCAGGAGAAGGATAAGAACAGATGAGGAGATTGGAAATTGGAAGGAAATTATGATTGAGTTGAAGAGAGATTGGAAGAAGCCTGTACCGGAGGGACTTCCTACTTCAGAATCCAATGAAAACCTCATGTTGATAGAGAGGGTAGATGAAGTCACTGGTGTAGCGACAAAAGAACAGTCATATCGTTTAAGCTGATCAAGACTGGACAGACCTTAGGGATGAAGATTGCAGGAAGAGACTGGAGGATCACCACAAACCAGATGTATTCAAATATTGCGGGTCAATACAAATTTAAAAGGAGAACGGAGGGATTGGAATGGGTAAACATGGGTCAGATTCTGGGTAGGGTTTCAAGGATCTATATTTTAGAGTAAAAATAACATCAAAAATTCTCACGGTTTCAATTGCGAGGGGTGAGAAAGAATTTAAAATCATCCATTTATGAGACCTAGAATAAAGAGTCTTTAATATCACTTTTTGCTGCATATAAACCACTCTTTTTCAGAGGAATATTCCACATCAACATCTTCTATGTCCCAAACCGCCCCCCTTCTCAACAATTTCCTCCATAATATGACTCCCCTTGGAGATCGACTGGGAATCTATCTAAAACTTCCCGCTTATCTTGTTTGCGCAATGCTCAAACTCAATCGACTTCATCCTTAAGAGCCGAATCCACCTTGGGTTGGCCAGACCTAAGGCTTCTTGGCTCTCTTGGAATCTCGTTGAGCTTTCCGACTGCTCCCCTGCTTGCTCGTGTAATGAAATTGCCTCCCTGCCCCCGCAAGTCCTTCTGTCATTCCTGTCTCAATACACCACTAAGATTCTGGCCCCGAACCTCGAAACCTTGCCGCCAAACAAGATCCCGAAGATAAGAGTACCATACAAAATCCCCCCACCAGCACTTTTCGCATATTATTGTCTCTTCATATCCATCGCCTTGACATTTTCCTTCCTTTCTTCTTTCAACCAAATCTTAGACTATTGAATCAACCAAGCCCCTCATTTCAAAACACACATTTGAATTCTATCCCAATCTCAATCTCAATCTCAAGATCAACCCCAAAATACAAAGATGTTCTATCCACCAGAACGCACGTATCGTAAACCGGAGAACCGTAACCCGCAAATGGCACTTTACTATTGCTAGAATCAAATGGATGCGGAGTCAAGGATAAGTCCTCCGACGGAATCGTGGTATATCGTTAGTCGTGATGGTAAAATATAAATGGCAGAATCGCCATAATCGAAGGAATAAAGATTCGTAAAAGGTATCGTACCCCAAAAGTTCTGAGAACCCTGGAGATAATGGTAATGCAGTAATGAACAGAACACACATCCAAAAGCCCCACCCACAGTACCACAGGGTCGAGCTAATGAATTGATTCATATAATCCGAAACTAAGTATTTTTGATTGTATGTGATATTCCACTACCCCCTAAAGTATATTGGTTTAGACGATATGCCCAAATATATCTTCAAAATCGTCGCTGATACGATGTCGATAAGAATCCGGGAATCAAGGAGAGAATGATTTTTTAAACATATGCAGGAAAAACTTCTATGGAGAGGAAGCGGCGCTGCATAGTGATTTTGAATTTTGCCTGGCCCAGATGATCAATCATTTTGGGGACGTAGATACCGGGCCGAACAATGTAAATTAAATGTTTTTTTTTCAGTGAGATTGTTTCTTGTCTTTGGGAGGGTTGCTTTTTGTTGGGTTTTTTGATTTTTTTGGCTTTTTAGGGGGGGGTTTCGTTTGCAGTTTTTGATGCGGCAGTAATCGTGATGCAATTTTTCTCTCAAGATGATAAATAGTTATCATGAAGCAGGAGGATGGTCAGCTGCATCTCCTTTTTTTTGCAATCTGGCCACCTTCATTTCCCGAAGAAAGAGGTAGAGGTGAAGTCTCTGCCAACCATTACCAATCGATGGGTCCGAAAGGATGGGCATTGCTGTCAACCTCAATATCAAGATCGACGACAGGGGACCTGTCTGGGACGTCGATGAACTCAAGACTTTGAGGTATATTAAGATTGGTGGGATGACAACAATCTTCGTCATCCGAATCATCACTGCTGTCGTCCTCCATCACAGCCTCAGCTTTTGGGACAGTGCGATTCTCGTATTTTTTCACCACCTTCATGTACTTGGCGATGCGTTTCTTGGAGACGTTCAAGTTGCGAAGGAGAAGCTCGCGGTCAAATGTTGCATAAACTTCGACTTCATTCTCCTGCTCCCATTTTTGAAGGTTGAACAATTCCCATGATGTCTTGGCCTTCAGCAATTGCAATTCTGTTGGCTCCATTGTGATATCGACATTTGCGAGGTCTGCTGGGACCCTGTGCTTTCGGTAAAGCTCTGCGTTTTCATCTTCGTCTAACTTTTCGAGATCACCATCTTCATCGGACTCTTCTGGTATGGTGTCATCCATGGTGATGATCTCGGATTCATCACTTTCTGACATCTCTGACTCCTCAACATCGGAGTCGCTAGACTCATCGCAGTCATCGCAGTCATCGGAGTCTTCAGAATCGACAGGAAAATCTTCAAGTGGAGGCAAACCAACGCAACCTTCTAGACTAACATATGGCCCAGTGCTTACCTCGGGTGATTCGGACCGAGGGGTTTCCTCTTTTGGTATATCGCTGGATTCCTTGGTAGAATCAGAATCGTCATATTCAGAGGACAAGTATTGTTCTACTGGCATCTGCGTCTCGTTTGAAAAATTGAACGATGTGTCTAGCAGGGAGAATGGGTCCTCCTCTGTTAGTCTAGACCCCTGACCTGAAGCCTCATTGGATTCGAAGGACGCCCCATGGAAATCACCCTCAAAATCGGTGGAACTCTTTAGAGAAAGTACTGAAGACCCAATGGGGGCTGGTGCGATTTTCTCCGAGTAATCCTGTTGATGTCTCTCAGCAGAGGAAAAATCATCTTCTGCTTCGAAATTATCGAAGGCAGAGCGAGGAATGACCGGTGGTGAGAACTCTTCTTCAGCAGCTGCGTCCTCAGCCATTTGAGCTTCAAGACAACGTTCCATTTCGGCCTCTAATTCATCAAGGACAGATTTGGGAACGGCTGGTTCACTAGAGACAGGTTTGCGGGTGATTGGTATATTGAAGATAGAGTTTTCCCAACACGGGTGAGCGAGCTTATAGGCGAGATCAAGGTAATATGGTGGGTAATATTCCTCCTCGTCTTCATCGGCATCTGACATACTACTCTCATAACCCCGATCCCTAGCATAGAAGGGTTCCTCTTGTAAAACACCATTATATCCCTTGTGCAAGACAGTTGGCTCAGGGATCTTCTGAGGAACTTCACATTGCTCTTCATCAGATTCATCTCCGGAAGAATATTCATCGCTATCGTCATCTGATAAATCTTGATCAGATGATTCACCATCTTCAGCTCGAAGGACAATCAAATCTTCGAGAGCTGTTCGCAATTGCTCAGCATGGAAGGAATTTTGAAGTTCGATTTGTATATCGCGCTCAAGCTCAAGTTCCATGGCATCTCTATCCTTCGCTGTGTTAGAGAGCTCTGCGTTCGGAGTAATAGTCTTGAAAGTTTCCGTGGCATTTTCAAATTTAAAAAAGTCATTCAAAACAGACCCTTTATCCGAATTTGCATCTGGGAGTCCAGGAAATCGGAGAAATTGTGGCATTGGTCGTTGTGTTTGGCTTGACGGCTCAGCCTTGGGATCGAGGCTAACAATATCTTTGTTGATTTTTGTCTCTGATACCACCTCAGCCTTAATTTGCAAATCTGCTGGAAGAGAACGATTAATTTCAGCCATAATCTTTGGCTGTTCTGAGATCTCCAATTTCTTTGGCTCAGATTTGTCAACAACTGAAGATCTGGGATTGGGCACCACTCCGTCACTCTTGTTTCCCTTCTTGATCACCTTTCTTGGGGTGGAAACTGATTGTGTAATACTGAATGATGTAGATCTACTAGCCTCTTCTGTTGGTGTCTTGGCGCTCAATGGTTTTGACGAAACAGATGGCTTCTTGAGTTCAACATGAGGAGCTGGAACGGCGCGACGACTTTTAGGTTGTACCTCTTCACTTGATGAGGAGGTGGGTAATGGGATTGACGAAGGAATCTTTCTGGTAACTTCATTCTTGGAAGCAGGAGTAACGCCACGGCGACTAGATCGAGCCCTATCAGAAGTGCTCGTGGAAGCTGGTAATATTTTCTGAATCGAAGTAGATGGCTTTGCGACTTCGGCATGAGAAGCAGGGGCAACTTTACGGCGACTAGGCTGTGCCACTTTAGTTGATGCTGTGGTAGACATGGATACAGACGAAGCAGATGATTTTGCAACTTGGACTTTTGAAGCAGGAGCTGGGCCACGACGACTAGATTTAGTTTTGATAGGGACTTTGTCAAAAGCTGATCGTGGGAGGCTGTTATCAAACGCTGATCGTGGGGTCTCAACTGGCTGAACTGCCACACTTGGTGCTTCACCAAAAAGTTCCTCCATGGAAATGTTATCAAAGGCTGATCGTGGGCTCTCGACTGATTGAGCTGCGGCAGGTGGTGCTTCACCGAAAAGCTGTTCCATAGAAAGATTGGGAAGGTATCGAAGCTTTAATGGTGCTCCTGTTGATGGAGCAGCTGATTCGCTCTGTGATGCCCCAACTTTTGGTTTAACTTGCGCGGAAACAGATTTCAAGACGTTTTCCGTAGATTTCTCGCCATTTTCGTTCACCGTCTCAGAGACCGACCTAGGCTGCATGGGATCCTTCTTCGGTGCTGTTGACTTCTTGGTAGACTTGGAACCACCAAAACCTAACGAGTTCTTTGTGGGGTTGTTTCGAACCTTCGTCTCCTTGATAGGGGCGCGCTTTGCAGGAGCCTATTTGATTGGTCAGTAAGTTTCGCTTATGATTTTAGAATATAAACCAGCTTGTGAGTAGACTTACAGCAACATTTTTTTTATTTGGTCCAGTGATCTTCTGTTTCTCTACAGGACCACTTGCTTCTACCTCCTCAGTATGCTTGCGCTTGGTGGAAACATTTTCAAAGTTCATGCCTGCCTTTGTGGTCTTCGGCTTCTTGGTAGGCTTAGCGATTTCTTCTTCAAACTCACTAGAGTCCGTATCGAAATACTTGCGCTTGACTGAAGATTGCTTGTTCTCTTCAGATTTCTTGAGGTCCTGGGACCTTTGAGCTCTGGGAGGGAGCTTTGGAATATCGGGCTTGAACTTGGTGGTGTTTTTAGCCTCATTCTTGATTTCATTGCGGCCAAAGATCTTTTGGCCTTTGTTGTTTAATGGCCCATGGCCAGAAGCTGGGACTGAAGCACTGGTCTTGTTGTGTTTATTATTGACTGGGGCAAACTTCCGGTTTTGATTACCGTTGTTCATGCGGCCTTTGTAAACTATATCTTCTTCGTCGCTATCAATCTCTCCATCTTCCTTCTCTGCCATCTTGCGCTTGATTTTGGCGGCAGTAGCAGCTTCATCGGCGGCTTTTTTCTCAGCAACCTCGACCGTTGATTTTCCTGGGCGCTTTTTCATACGTGGAAGAGATGAAATGGAGCTGGGAGTGCTCTGTATACTATGATCAGTACAAATCAATTAATAAAGATTAACTACGATGACGTACCGATTTAGGAGCTTGATTCACAAAAGTTGCGGCGTTGGATGAGTTAGCCTTTGCAGGAGGGTTTGCAGCCTGTGGATCACATTAGTATATACACATGATATTATTTTATAGCGCAAAGAAAGGGAAATTACTTACATCGCGAGCCTTCTTCTCGGCAGCTTCAGCACGTGCTGCCTTAAGCTTCTCAATGCCAGCGTTGATCTTTTGTTGTTTAGTCTATTCAGTTAGCATTTAAACTATTTCTTGATCGATGTTGACTTAAGAAGCGAATGAGAGGTAGAGTTTGATTGGAGTCATAGCACGTACCATGTTGTTGCTTTGTTGAGGAGGCATCGTGAATGGAGTTTTATTACTTGATGAAGTAATGGTAACCGGTATGTGAATGGAATTAGTATTACTCAGGAAGTAACAGGTAGTCTAGTTGTTGTTGTGTTGTAATGTAAGATAACGGAAGTGCTATCAAAAAAGTATTCTTGAAAGAAGTCTTGGGCCTGGAAGTTTCTTGTCGAATAGGAAGAAGAGGATGTCGAGATATTTTTGAGGATGGATTTTTGGAAGCTTATATGTAAAACTATATGTCGTTTACGGCGACAAAATATTGCTACGGTTTGAGTTGGCTGTATTGAATATCGCATGTTCACTACCAAAAACCGTATTCGACCACAAATCATGGCAATTCTTGATGCCGTACAGAGCGCGATCATTGTTGCACATGAACTCAAATTACCAATCAGCTTGATGTTTATGCTCATACGGTCAATGCAGTATTATAGCAAGGAAACATCTGATTGTAGTTGGCTCAATAGCCGTACCCATTTTGTTGATACCAATATCAATGACCTGCCTCAACCGAGCAAAACTATTGTACTGTTGGATTGAAGAAGATAATAAGCTCACTTCAATATCAATCTCCCACATTATAGGTCCACGCCAGTACGGCCTTTAAAAGGCTGATTGATGTTCGGAACGTTCACTGTTACTCTAGACGTGCTGCAGTTATCCAACCAGAGCCACTCCTCAGAGTCAGTTATTCCTCAACCAGTAGCAAAAATGGCGTTTATCTATACAACTGACTAGTATACCGCTTGGCAGGCTTTGGAAAAAAAAAATTCACGGAGTGGATGTATATATGTTGATACCAATGACTCTTCTGTTGCCTTGTTTTTAAGGACAGTTAGCTGCTGTACAGTCTTGAGATGAATGCTCTTTCGACTTCACTATTGCAGGCTTTACAGGGATGTCTAATTGTTTGGAATAACTATGAGGCTAATGTCTACTTGTGTCTGGCTGCTCCATGTTTATATGTTGCATAAAAACTGAAGATGGAGAGATTATGCGCTATCTTCAAATTCTCGAATTCAAGAGAGCGACTACATCTCAAGCTCATACAACTTCTAATCAAGATCACAATTATTCTTCTGATGTCGTAATCACTTCGTGATATTATCTTTCTTCTCCAATACAATAAATCTCGACAATATTCTAACTGATATTGCATTATGTGGTGTTCTTGTTACTCTCTATTACAAGATTATTTGCTTCACTTTGTGCCTTACTAAATTAATTTCAACTCAATCTGAGACCTGGGTAGCTAGATTGAAACAGACACTTGCTTAACAGTCAAAGAAAGAATCGAAGCTGATCTAAAAAAGCTGGTTGCATACATGACTTTTATAATTTATCCTATGCTTCATTTTGCAAAAAATCCCGCTAAGCTCCAAGGGATCCCATTCGAAATATTGCAAGTGAATGAGATGTTGTTTTAGCAATATTTCACTACCGACTCTTTTTTGGCAATTTCACGCTAGATCAGCTGTGATTACTTACTGCTCCCTCCACGAGTTTCGCTTTTTCTTACTTAACTTCAATGAACAATGCTTGGGATGAGTAAAAGCATACTGGTCAATCAAAGTGCAGAGCAAGAGATAGTGATAAACCGTGTCTAAGGAAATTCCAGAAGATGTTTGTGAGTTATTTCTAAGCTTTAATCAAGATAGTTGTCAGTTAACAGACCACTGAGTCCATCAAAAGAATGGTATTCGGCTTTGAATATAAAAAAATCAAATCCAGACATAAGTAGCTCGCTATATCGTACCTATTTCGACAAAAATTCAACCAGAAACAAGAATAAATAAAGGCATGCAAAGAGTGATATCTGGGTACTCTCAGAAGAAACATTAGATACCATAGAGTCAATGAAGTATAGCGTTGATGGATGGTAGTTTGTTGATGATGATTGAAGGTTGACGCTCGCGACTGCCTGTTCATGATGAAGAAGTTCTATGCCTTGAAGCATGACTCCAAAAATACTTTCTACCTACCCTTTACTGAACCTCGCCAAAATGGGAGCGCCATAAGAGCCTTGAAATATTTGAGGCGCATAGAAAAATTATTTCAGTCCTGCAAAATATGCTCGCGTCTCTCAAACATCTCATGAAGTTCACATGGACAATCGAAGTAAAATACCTTTGAATCTCGATATCTTGATGTGGTAAAAATGATGTAGCAATTGAGCAGTCTATTCTCCCGCAATTGAAATTTCATAATAAGTGATATCATGCTGGGAAGAACATATGTTGATTTGAATTCAAAGCCTGTGAGAGGAGGTAGTGGATTTTAAGTGTGAGGTTTGCCGAGAGATTTTCACAATGTATACTTTACTTGCACTATCCATATCTTGGCCTTATAATCATTCAATGATATATCAATGAGATTCGCGCTTCTTTTTTGCGAGCTTCAAACTGATAGCGAAACCAAAGCAAGCAAAATGTTTCAAAATATCTGGACTCCATTTATTGCGGGGTTGGAGGTTTCCTTTTCGGGCCGGATATCACACGATGTGGGACAGCTAGATTTCAGAATAATCAAAGGGTCTAAGAAGTAATTTAAATGAGCGCAACCACCGGTGGTGCATGATATTGTAAAATTTTGAGCTAGAGAATTGAAAACAACAAATGACAACAACACTATAAACATACTCCTTGGCAACAGGCCTGCCCTCAAACTCAAGTATATACATTGAATAGTTTTGGGGTACCAATACCCTCCATTGAAACAGTAGAGATATTTCTACAATGCTGCCAAGATCGCGTTGTATGCAGGCTTTGGAGAGAAGTTCGCATCAAACAACAATGGGCTGGAACTTGAACGCCATGAGTCGGTATCACGGAGACCCCAGACTGTGATACCAACACATTTGCTGACACTCAAGCATGCATTGACGACCTATTTAATAATTAGAGCCAGTTCTTACTTCATCTCGAAGGGAATTCCTCAGAAATTTAAACTCACATTGACATAATCAGTAGAACCTGCACCAGCGATATCCAATTCTGTGACCGCAACTTCACTGACACCAGAAGCGGCAAGTGCAGTCAAAGCGCCTTTTGCAGCAGCTCCCTGACCGGCTGAGAGATGGGTCTGCGAACCGATTCCATCAATGGGGATTCCTTGACCGATCCAAGTTTTGACATGTGCGACCATTCCCTTTGTGAGTTTGGCATAGGACTCTGAATCAAGGCTTCATGAAATGTTAGTTTTGGATGTAAAAGTTTGAAGGATAGAATTACTTGTAATCGTTGATGTAGAGCTTTGCGTTTGGATCAGCTGCTCGAGCGGCTTTGAAGGCGATGGACACAAAGCTTTCGCCAAGGACCTTGTAGAATACGCTGTCTCTCATCGAACCATCTTCATTGAAGATTTCATTGACGACATCCTTATAATGGTTAATTATATGAGCAAAATCAGGATACGATGACATACCCATGCGTAAATCTTTCCCTTCCAGCGAGTCACCTCTTGGGTGACATGATTTTGAAGGACGCTAGTGAGCGTGTCCTTGGACGTGATAGAGCTAACCCAGCTAGGGAGTTGAGAATGCCAGCCTATCGATGTCAGTTATCATTCTCAAAGACGAATTTGGTATGACAAACAGAGTGTGTGGCCGCGAACAAGTTTCTCGTTCTCAACAGCGAAGTTTACCAAATAATCGCCACCAGCGAAGTTGAACTTATTTTGTGATCCTATCTGCAGTCAGCAATATACTCTTCAAGACCTATGTGAATATCCATACCCTCAATAGCGTCCCACTTCATGCTGTTCTCTGGTGTCACTTGTCCAAAGTTTGCTTTGATGACATCCGCATTCTTTCCAGATGAAAGAAGATTCTGATCTGTGGCAAGACCAAAATATTTCTTTCCATGAGCAACAAATTTGGCGTTAATACTACTGCTACTTCCGGTGCTTGTTGGACTTGTGATCTCGGTTTTCAAGGTCGTCGGGGTAACTAATGTCGCTGTAGCTGAAGGAACGACATTTCCAGGAATGCACTGAGAGTAATCTAATAAAATGAGCAAATGCTGTAAATGTTGCTAAAAAAAGTTTAACATACAATCGCTATAACGATGTTAGCTTCATCCAAAAGTTTTGAATGGGGTTAAACTCACTTTGAAAATGTGCAAGTGTATCCTGATACACAGGTTGTAGCACCAGTCCAGCCATTACCGCCACCTAAAATGGTCAATCATGATGTGCTTTTGTTGTGTTGAGTCAACTTACATTGAGCCCAACCTTGGCTCTGGGCCAAAGCGAGATTGATATGACCGAGCATGGCAGCCAAAGCTGCAACATTCAAAGCTGAAAACATATTGTTGTTTGAGTAAAAAGATAGAATGAATGAAGAAGAAGAAGTGAAATTGTCTGAATGTGTGATAATGAAGAATAATCAAGGCGAAAAACTTGATCATATATACTCCTAATTTCCACTATATCATCTTCTGTTTGTCAGCCAAGATGGGTTAAAGGAGCAATTAAACACAAATATTGGAGAATCCATACCTTCGAAATCATCAGCACTAAGCAAAACTACTTCTCCCGTAATTCCGAGGCTTATAGGCTAATATCAAGCATTATAGTATCTGCCCTATGAATTTAAGACATAAAACTACTCGTGATCTTGAGATTAATGTTCTTTTCAACGTTTCAAGGGGCGGCCCGGCTGTTAAGCACCCCGCAAATGCCAAGATTAGTTAAGGATACACTAAGCAAAGAGCCTAAATTGAGAGATGGGGTGCATCCAAGGGGCATGAGTACAGTGCTTTATCACGCCTGGATCAGTTTATATAGATTCATTTCGGAACTCTTGGCTCAGCTATGACAAAGCTGAATTATTCCTCGCTTTCCGGTTTCCACACCTATATTGTTGGCCACTATAGAATTGTTTTCACGTAAGGACGGGTTGAAATGAAGCTTTTTACTTGCATATATAGAAAAGTGGCAATACTGTTTCAAAACTCCCAACATGGTAACCACTTGTCAAAGTTGGCTTGCTCGCCGGCAGGGGATTCTTGAAGTGGACCGATTAGTACGCGATAGATCGTGTCGACCTTGGCAATATTCTAAATCGGCCCAATGTTTATACAAATGACCAATTCTATACGAATTGTGAATTGCTTCGTCTGAACAATTGAGAAGTACCGGCAATGACCAAACGACCATTGAGTTGCAATCTCGCTCCACTTTCAGGGTAGCTTCATGGAATTCACAACGGCAGAGAATATCAGATCTTGCAATGGTAGTGTTTGTCAGACAAAAGAGAAAGCATAAACATAATCTCCTTTAGACGTGAATTGTTATATGCAATGAAAAAAAAAAGGTTGACAAAGAGGGTTTTCAATTGCAGTGTTTACTCGAATGAAGAAAGCCAAAACGCCGCTGATGTCGAAGGGACTTGCGGGCCGAGATTCTGGCGATAGAATCTGCACCCAAAAGCTTCTAAATTGCTTCTGACAACGTTGATCATTGTCATTTGTGACTTTAGGAGCCTGCAAGCATGAAGGATTAAGAAAACAATGCGCGTAGACGATAGCTGATCGGCAAACTTTTGCAGGTGTCAAGTATTAAGGTTAATCTAGTACATAACAAGAATAAGCTTCTTCGTCTCAGCCTATCACATCACGCTAGAGTCATTAATGCGAACGTGCCGATGCCAGAGTAGCACCGTACTGCAGGGAAACTCATGAAGTGGATGCTACCAGTGATTTCATGACTCTGCGGTGTAGCGATCCTTTTCCAACATGCAATAAGATGCAATAAAAAATGCAACGAGAAGTACGATGAGACTTCTTGACATCAGAAAAATAGTTTAGACCATATATCTGCTCATGGGACTATGTGATCAGGAATCAGATACCCGTGTGGCAAACTCTCTCCTCTTGATTAAGAATACGAAGTATTAGAAACAACTTCAAAAATTTGACATCTCTCACTAGCACGCATCCAGATGACAATTATGAGATGGACAAAACGATAAAAATGTATGGGAGCATAACAGGTAATGGAACCCCCGTCGTTGGAATAAGGTGAAACCAAAATAGTTGTTGTCAATTTAAACATCAACAATTAAGGTTAGCGGGGCGTGTGTAGCGATTTGGCGGATTGCCAAGGTGGGCATGGCACGTCAACGACTATATGAGGTGTCTAGTTACTTGCGTCAAAATGAATTAATTTCATATAAACTCACTACCGATGATTGCTTTTGGTATATTAATTATTAGAGATTGAAACGCTTCTAGAGTAATTCTTCCTGGGTGAAGCCTGTAGTATATGCTCGCAAATCGAGTTTATGATAATCTTATTAATAAGATTTGAGACGATTGTATCAACCACAACCTCTTGTATATTATCAAACGAGCTACTATTTCTTTAGAGGGGCAGCCAATCTCATCCAGGCGGTTAAGCTTTTTATTGTTTCAATGTATTGTTTTAATGCAATATATATCTAGAATTCAGGGTCACTAGCATGAATTAGTATAACCTGGCACTTTGGCGGAGTGGTTAACGCGATGCCCTGCTACTGTTTAATCCAGAGTCAGGCATTTCCTTCGGGAGCGAGTGTTCGAATCACTCAGGTGTCGTTTTTGTTTTTGCATTCTTCCGCCCTATTGCTATATTTTTCTATTCTACTCACATCTGAATATATATTTTTTTACTTGTGTAACCTATTTTGGTGATCCCTGTTCGTTGTGGATCCGCAGGCTTGATTTGTATGTGGGGAGGCCCCTTTTTAAGATTCGCTTGTTTATAAAAAATACTCTAGGACAATCTTTGTTCCTGGTCATAAGAGTTGTAGGAACTGAACGATCCATTTCTGCTATAGTTCTAGAATTCTTCAGTGGATAAAGTCAGCCTTGGGGTTTCAGGTCATTGTCGTTCATTGTAGAATTTTCACGTGTGCAGGAAACTCCGTTCAACACTACCACGGTTACATCTCCTATGATCACATATTCCATCTATATCTTACGAAATGGCTATTTTGTACTTACTTACTTACTTACCACTAACTTATTCTTGATGTCATCGCGAAATATCAAAAAGAAGAGGTTTAAAATATTAACAAGATTGAACGGATAAGATATGCCTACCCCACAAAAGACTTTCGAATTTTGAGGGATTTAATCATCTTTCGAAGAGATTTTCTAAATCTTTGAAATTCTTGAAAGCTCTTGCGAAGGTTACAACGGTCTATTCAATACATACATCAATTTACTTCTGTTCTTCTATACGTATAGTACGTTACATAATACAACAGCAGAACCCTTGAAACCAATTAAAAACTTCAAGTAATATACTCGACTCAAACCTTGCCAAGCAATCTACCGCCCTTAGTCTGATCCAACCAGCTTTCCCCCTAATTCTAGATTCTTACTACCTCACTTAGCTCCCCCTCTTTCACACGTACCTCGGCACCAACCAATATTCGCTTTGACATTCCAAATTATTCAACTGCCGAAACGTCTAGATTTTCTTGGAGCTCATCACTTTATTTTGTTTATTAAAATTAGAGAATAACTGGGTCGCTTCTTGAACTCATTATGCTTATTCAAAACTCTAAGTTAATGTCCAATAAAGTTTTGATATCGTCACATTTGTACCAGAAAGAAATTTAGATGGATATTTGCATTGAATATCTATTCGTCGATGTCATTGAAGATGTCACTACAGGGTTTTGTATAGTTAGGGTCGACGGTACAGCGAGGTCGATGAAACCATACAATTCCCACCCACTTATTTCAAAGATATTCAATTTCTCAGATGCATTCTCTGTATTCTCTGCATATTGTGTTTTTAGTTGATTAAGATTGATCGACTTTTGTCATTTGTAGTTTTGCCCTTCCTGTATGTGCTCATTATTGGCGACTCTTTTTCTGCAGGAATACGAAAGATCGTTTGAGCTGTTCCGTTTTGAAGTTTACACATCAAGCCACAATCACTCCTCACTTCAGCTGACTACTTTCTAGTTCCATTAATATTATTGCTATCATCCTTTATTTTGTTCTTGTTCCGTAGAAGCACCGTGATGAATGAACAAATTGCATTGATCATGAGCTCATAGTGATGTGTAAAAGTGTTTCATTTTCACTCAATATAGAGGCTATCAAGTAGCAGATCAATCCCTCCCAGTAATCGCAAATGCGCATTCGTGGGGAGTTGAAGAGTTCGTTGTTGTGACTGGCCTACTACATGATAATTCCTCTGCAGCATCCTTGAAGTGAAGAAACTTTTAGTTCTACTGGTAATTTTGGTTCTCATTGACACGATGTTTCGTTCTTCTTTATCGAATTTGATCGTGTCGCAATGGTACTACGATTAGTATCAATCGCAAATTGTAAAAGTCTAAGAATTTGCAACCGTATATCATGTGTAATGATAACAGTGAGTAGCCCCATACCTTCAAAATTATCTATTCAATTGAGTTTTACAGCTCTTCAACAGATTGAGTATTCGTCCGTCATACCATACACTTCAATGTAATGCCCCTGATGAAATATACTCGGTATCTTTCACCTAAACTCATCCGTCTCTCCTCTCGTTACGATATTATATCATCTATACTACTTATGTCTACTAGCATGCAAACATTTACTTATTAGCATAACCCTTTAGCAGAATCACGACCCTGACTTCTTTCACCCTATCTCGATATGATGACTCGGGTCCTTCAAACTTCGAACGACCCTACGAAAAGATCGTCTCACTTCCGGAGAAGAGAAACACAACTTATACAAGCTTAATCAACGATCTCTTGATCACGACATCTGCCATTCCATACAAGAAAGTCCCAGGTGTTAACTCAAGCTAGAAATGATTCCATTGTCCTACCGCATGACCTCAATAATCCAATGTCATCCTAAAAATCAAGCTTCGATTCTTCCTCGCCCACCAATACGAAGTCTTATGCGTTCACAAACGCACCTGGTATACTTCTCTCGGCTTCACTGTCCCTCGTGGCGTCGCACACGATCGATGCTTACTTTGTATTTAAACGACGAGCACATTCTGTCTAAAAAGTATGTTCTGTTATAATTTGCTAAAATATCCTGACCGTTAGAGTACTCAAATCTCGTGGTGATTTTTTCACAGAATCATCCAAGTTGCGAACAAATAACAGATGGAGAATACAGTGCATTGAGTAGTTTAGGGCTCATGGTCTTTACTTCACATGCAAACCATTCTATCGTAGCACCAGACGATTTTACTGTTTATCATTATCAAGCCATGGTTCCCCAAGATGGCTCGTGGTGATACTTCGAATAAACATACGATAAAGGCCCGTTTAGCACCTCAATTTGGGGTTCATTGGATTTGTACTACAGCATGGAAGGTTATCACAGTCAAGTTGGCATCGCTTGTGGCACATTGGCAGTTTTCTTTCCTTTCATGAAGTTAAGTTTTGATTTATTGCAGAGATTTCATATACAATGACTTGAACATCTACATTGAACACAGAACTCAAACTAGCCTCAACTGCCACAAACTATACAGTCATCCTGCAGAACAAGCTTAAATGAATTTACCAGATTTCACACCGAGCAAAAACTTACCATCAAGTTCATCCTATCAATCCCACTCGATCGATCAACCCGCCACCCGCCATGCATCTCCAACCCTCCTATTTCACATAACCCATCATCAAACTCCTTACCCTCCTCATGCTCCTCGCCATCCAAGCCTCAACCACGCCCATCCTCATTCCTCCCTCTAGCCTCGCAACCACCATCGAATCTCCTACTGGCGCAGTCCGCACCTACTACCAAGCCTTCGACAGTTCCATTATCGAACTTCGTCTCAATTTCCCCACGAGCTCTGGCTATACCAGATTAGTTCTGATTCCTGCTGGTGCTGCGAAGCCTGATACTCGGCTTGCTGCTGTTTCTTGGGGATCGTTTGATGATGTGAGTGTATGAATAGATTTTTGTTTCCCTTTCTCTTTTTTTTCTCTTCTTCTTTTTCTTCTTTTTCTTCTTTTCTTCTTTTTCTTCTTTTTCTTCTTTTTCTTCTTTTTCTTCTTTTTCTTCTTTTTCTTCTTTTTCTTCTTTTTCTTCTTTTTCTTCTTTTTCTTCTTTTTCTTCTTTTTCTTCTTTTTCTTCTTTTTCTTCTTTTTCTTCTTTTTCTTCTTTTTCTTCTCTCCATCCCCTATCCCCACCCCATACAAGATTCACTTGACTTGACTCAACAACCTGTGAACTCGACTCCAGATCAACCTCTACTACATCAGCAGCGCCTACAACTCCACACTCCTCTGTGAAAAGATCTGGAACTCAGATATTACAGGATGAATTGACGGGAGTCTCAACAATCACGAATATACTGTCCAAACAAATACGAGTCTATTGACTGCATATCATGATGGGATAACTGTGGAGGATAGTACGTGGCGGGTGGCTTTTGTTTGTTCGACAGGAGGGGTGGCTAACGAGAGAGTGCTGAGTGAGGCTTCGAAGACAATGACGAGGGAGTGGATAGTGGAGGCTTATGTTTAGGCGGGCGTGGTGTTTAAGCGAGAGTGGTGAAGAAGGAATACCGCCGTTAGGGACAAATATGAGGGGACCCGACTTTAACAGATCGATACATAATCTTAGATTCGTAGCTTTAAGAATCTACACCCTTTCCACAGCTATAGCATCGACTCATCCATAATAATTTAACACAAGCAATGGATGCTAGGAAAAAGGTTCTGACTCTAATTTATACAATATAAAGCTTAGCGCTTCGAATCCTCTTTCAGTATCCCGAAAAGTAAGATTATACTCGTATAAAAAACATATCATCTCTTCGACTCTTCAACTTCAATACCTATGTTATTAACCCCTGAGTTTATCTCCTCAAAAAAACCCCTCTTTGAACTCTACAGTATACATCTATAATGGTACATGCGATTCGACAGGTTTTAATCAGTTTAAAAGTATAATGGATTCAATAACAAAGATTCATGAGTGAGATCGAATTTAAAAACATGCGTTTTATAATTGTCAACTCTACTCGAGTACAATAAATCACAATAAAAGAAAGGATTAAGATCGGATTCTAAGAAGATGTAATGCAAACAAGTTTACATAATGATACAAAAAACAAAAGAAAACCAAGCATAACATCGATTTAAAATCAAAAGATCTACCAAGATCAGAAAGTAAAGAGAGAGTGAGAGTCTGAATGGCTTCATTTTAGACTTATTCCTACAGGGAGGAGAATGGTGTTGGAAGTAAATACAAAAGATAACTTTTATAAATCGAGAAATGGATACATGTATTATCTCATCTCAGATCCATACACAATACTAACAACCAATTCCATACTCCTTCCACACCTGTAAAAGTGATTTCTTCACTCTGATGAATAGTAATATGAAAGGAAAGTCTGCCTACTTCAATATTGTCATAGGCAGATAGATAGCATTAGAACTTCACAATAAGCATCTCCGCTACATCCGCAGAATGACCCAAGAGGACTCGAGTAATTCTCGAGTTTTATTGTTATTTCGTATCTGCGATGTAATTTTCTTGATGCTTAATTTAATTTTGTTTTGTATTTGTGGGTTGCAATTTTCAAAATAAGACGCAAAGATATTCATGGCATGGATGTCAATCGGACGAGTTGGAGAGAAATTCGTTTGATTCTCCAAACTCACGATGAGTGAGACACATAGGTTTCGCGGATTCGAAAATTTGGAGATACATCTGAATACGAAACTCTTCCCTTCCCCTTCCATATCCTTCCCCCCACCATCTATCTACTCCCTACCAATTACTCACCACCAACTACCCCCATCACCACCCACCCCCCTCCATTCTCAAATCCCCTCTCACTCCCTCCCCCCAAAATCAAAAATCAAAAAGATCACACCCACGAATCCCTAAATCCAGTCCAGGTTTCAGGTTTCAGGTTCCAAGAAGATGATTCCATCATCGGCCATCTGTATAGATAGGTATCGCCTTATTTCATCTCTAGATTCTATCTGATTCTCACAGATCGCCATACTCATACTACTTTGCACGAATACCACTAGTGCTACTAGAAATAAGCAGTAAGACTTCCAATCCTCCTTTAGGGGTTGAAAGCGCTGAAGAGACGGCTTATTCTAGGCACGAAAAGAGATGCAGAAGAAAGAATATAAAGCTATACATCATACGTGATCGATGATATGAATGATACAAAATTCGTTGTTGATCTATATACTCATAAAGACCTATATCCATTTATATGCCGCTGCCTATAATATTCATCTATATATGTGTAGGTATATCTTCTCATGTATTGTTTCGACAATTGAGCTGTTGAGTCGCTCGCTCTTTTAACCTCTGTACGAACACAAAATTCCCCTGAATTCTCACTTCGAACTCCATACATCAAAACATTAAATTCTTTCCAATATTCGATCCAAGATAGATTCCACGCCAAAGATGAAATCAACCATGATAGATTCAAGTGATCTTCCTCCTCAAAGAGCATCTTACTTCTTCACACCCAAACCTACCTGGCAATCCAAAAACCACAAATCTACCCTTTCCCCACCCAACAACCCACTACCTCCTATCCAACCTATCATGCAAAACATTTTGTTTCATCAAACTCCCCACCCCAGCCATTAGGATCGCAAAGCCCAAGGCCGTCAGAAATACCCCCCTAAAAGCATCCATAAAACTTTCCGTCACACCTTCTTTCCACCCTTCAGGAAGTTTATTCAACTCGTCGAAAGAATCTCTAATTCTTCCAATGATCTCTTCCGCGTTTGGTTTATCTCCGAATTTCTCCCACAGATCTGATTTGAGTATGTTTTGATACACCGCGCTTGCAATAGTAATACCAATGGTTGAGCCTGTGGAACGGAATGCATAGGAAGCGGATGTGATAACCGAGTGATGATCATGCGATACTGCTGAGATGATAGCTAGAAGTGTAGTTGTGAGAGTTGCGCCGTAGCCAATTCCCGTCAAGGAGAGATAGACGTATATTGGCCAATCCGGACTGTTAGAATTGAGGGTTGCTAGAAGACCAGTTCCAATGACGAGCATTGTAAGTGTGATCAAACTAATTGATTTATATTTTCCAGTTCGATTCATGATGATTCCGGAACCAAGAGATCCGACAGAAGCTCCGATTGATTGAGGAATCAGACGCATACCAGAGGCCGTGGTTGATTCACCCCGGACTTGATAATATAAAGGAACGTAAAAGAGAATCATGAAGACGACCATTGTAACGAACCAATTTGTAAGACAAGCGGCGAGAACAGTACGATTTGCGAGGAGGCGAACTGGGATAACAGGTTCCGAGGCGATGTATAGTTCGATGTATATAAATCCAAGAAGAGACACGAGAGAGAGGGGGAGCGAAACATAGACGAGGGGGTGATTCCAAGGTACGATATTACCACCAGAATTGAGTCCTAGGAGAAGAAGAACAAGTGTAAGAACCAGCGCGAAAGAACCCATAAAATCGACTCTCGATAATTTCGATTTCTCGCTCTTCTTGGGAGGAATATCAACCAGACAAGCGACCAAGATTCCAGAGACGATAATAAAAGGAACTTGAGCCAAAAAAGCCATTCTCCATCCCCAAGTATCATTTATCCACCCTCCAAAGATCCCTCCCAACCCGGCTCCTGTCCCATAACATATATTTCCGATTCCCTGCACCACACCTCTCTTCCTCAGCGGAACCAAATCACTTCCTACAAAAGTACTTATAGCCATCAATCCACCCCCTCCACATCCTGCCACCACTCTCCCAAATATCATCACCCATTCGTTTTCCGCTAGTCCGCATATCAAATTTCCTGCCGCAAATAATACATTGCTCACGATCAATCCAGTTCTCCGACTAAAGATATCGGTGAGGCGACCAGAAAGTGGTTGACAAGCTGCATTTGCGATGAGATATGCAGAGGCGAGCCAGGAAAGAAGAGAGAGGGAATTAAAAGATGTGGAGATGCTGGCGGATAGGGTAGCGATGATTGTTGAATCTAGAGCACCGAGGAAGACACCTACCCAGATTGCTCCAAGAGTGACTACCAAACGTTTGGTGCTTTGTTCGCTGGGGATGATTGTTGCTTCGGACGTGGAAGGGTCTTGGATTGCAGATTCCAATGGTGGTGATTGGGAAGGTAAAGTCGTGGTGTCTGCGAGGAGGGGTGTTTCTTCATCTAAGTGGTTGGATGGAGACATTTTTGGCGTGGGTGAGAAAGTCGTGTACCGTTGGTTTCTTGGTTATATATCTATTGATGTATCATTGCAGCATGAAGATCGGATGAGCATGGAAAGGACAATACATAGAAATATATATCACCAGAACATACATAGATACAGCAGAAAGGAAGAAAAAAGGTTGATGTTTTGTGAATAATATTCCGAGATACCTTATCACAAATCACGCAAACAATCAATCAATTACTCACCGACATCTTAGCATCTGATTGAACGTTGATTGAACTTCTTTCAGATGCTGCGTTTTGTAATGTCTCGTATAAAAAACCAAGTTGGCGATGATAACCATTTGGAGATAGTGCTGCATTTGTGGATAATGGAAGATACTGTCCTTGTCATTGTTCCATGTTTGATGGCGCGAATGCTGATGAGTTTTTGTCGTAAGAGTACTTAGGTACTGATAAATAATGCTACCTAATGACGGGATGCTTGAATATGGATACCGGCATACACATTGAGATTTGGGAAAGACTTCAAATATATATTACTGAGGTCGGTCGGTAGGTAGTTGTCTATATAAACCTAGTAGACTCTGTGTGAAATATACGAAATGTACACCACCAATCGTTTTAAATAAATTGATTGTATATCCAAATTCATATATTATTCATAGGTACCTAGTCATTCATCCCTCACCCATCCTCACCCATCATCCCTCACCCATCATCCCTCACTCATCCATCACCTTACGCAGCCTTCACAAAGCAAGTCTCAGCCTTCTCTTTAAGCCCAAGCTTCATTGGTTGCCCAGCCACAAAAATTGATGATTGATTCTACTGCCGTTACTTAAAATAATCACGACCCTCAAACATCCAGGTATCGAATCCACTTGATTCGTCAAAACCCATCGAAACCAAGGAGCAACCAGGTTGACAAAAGCAAGATTTCATAAGAGAGAAAAAAAAGGCTGAGCAGTTCTTGTATTACGAAGGGTACGTACGAATGAATGAGGGATACGCGTATGAAGTTGATGAGCCTCTTTTCTTCGTATGATTTAGAGTTTGCTTGTCTTGACATTTGACATCTCGATTGTTTCTGTTGTTTCTGTTCTTTCTGTTCTTTCTGTTGTTTCCATACTTTCACACCATTTTGACTTTCTGTGCTCGACGAATTGTGAATATCATAAGGTTACCCGCTCGCACACACACCACACACACCACACACCTACCAAGCAAATATCAGACAGTCTCCAAGGTTTTACCTTCAGCCCCTCAGAATCAGAATATACGAGTACGCACTCGATACGAGATTCAGAATACCACCATTCCATACCTATCTAGCTTATCTGAGAACACTTGGAAAAACATCATCCACAACTTTCGCATTTGAGAATACAGTTTGCATTTGAGCATTCCCTTCGCATTTGATTGTACACCTTACATACCATACCGTCAATCCCAAAATCCCAAAATCCATAACCCGACAAGATGGAATTCTCAATACATAATTTACAGAAATATAAACTGGCTGTACACATCGTACAGTTAGCTATGGCAGTCGTCATATGGGTGTTAGACATCATCGTTATGCGATCAACTGCAACGGTCGATGGAAGACTGGGATGGAATTTCGGTTATGTATGTATATTTTCATTTCGCAGATGCGATGAGGGACTCGTACTGATAGTGAATCGAATAGACATTCTTAGTTCTACCCGCAGTCATATATCTTACCATGACCGTACGATTCCCCAGGACGCGAAAATTCGCAAACCCGTATGCGCTGTTGGCGATTGATCTCGTTTGGTGTATCATGGCTTTGTCGGCTTTTGCAGCGGTCGCAAACTGGAATTCCACGGGGAAATGTGGAAGTGGTTGTAAAGTGAGCAAGGCAGTGGTGGGATTAGGTGTATTCTTATGGTATGTCTTGGTTCTCCTGATTCTCCTGATTGGATTCCTCAGCAGCACATTTCTAATCTCAAACAACAGGCTCTTCTGGATTCTCTCAACAGCAATGTCATTCTATGGTCTGGTGTACTACAAGAGAGAAGGATATCTTCCCGGCGCATCCCGAGCTCCCAACAACGCAGCCATGATCGATCCCGATAAAGAAGCTTTCTCCACCGCTCCCCACGATGACGAATACGCACCAGTGCATGATGTAGAAGAGCATGAAGAGCATGAATTACACGATGATGGATATCCCGGTGGAAACTTCGTAGGTAGAGTTCACTCACCAGATTACGAACCTTCGAGTTATGGAGGATCATATGCACCTACATCGACGGCTCATCATGATGATTTGGAAGCCTCAACCGCGTATACCGGATATAGTGCGAGTGGATATGGCGGATCACAGAATTCGAGGACGGGGCGCGCTCAGTTTCCTGAGGGGAATTATGGTAATATTCCAGTTATTGGTGAACCATGAGAAACTTCATTCTTCAAAAATTGAGTAATACATTATACACGAACGGATAAATGGATGGATGGCACATGATAGATGATTTCACATTGGCGTTTCTGGTTTCCTCCTGTTGTGGTTTCGATACCAATGGATACCGTTTGAAAGTCTCTGTATATCGTGCTGGATTGGTAGATGGATTGGTAGGGAAAGAAACAACATACAGGTACATTTGAAAAGATGCATTTATTGCATCTATCACATGTACCAGATTGTATGAGAACAACACATGTCATCGGGAGGAGACATGACTTGCATATGTATCTTCGGGGGTTTTAGGAGCAATTGGTGGAGGACTTTACTTGGCATCAGCATGGGTTAAGATGAGGATGAGGAACGACGGAATTTGATCGAAGGGTGAAAAGGCATCTTTGTTATATAGAAATATATCTGTAGAGACAATGAAACGGAAATCTAAATATGTTGTTGAGATGTTGTGAGGTAGTAGCTAGGTAGCAGATAGGTGGGTTGATAGGTAGGTAGATTACGGGTAAAGTACCTAACCCCTTCATGAGACCTCACGCTCTTCGTTTAAATACCGAGTTACGGAATAGTCAGAATGGTGAGTGAGGAGTGAGGAGTGAGTGAGAAGTAAAGAGTGAGTTTATCCACGGGCCGATGATACAACTAACTTAGATTGGTGCCCAACAATACATACAATATGTATGAGGAACATCAGTAAGTAGATGGATGGGTATGTAGGTAGGTAATGTGATACAAATGTGATACAAATTCCAAAGAAAGAAAGAAGGGAAGGATTTTGAGATCGAATAGAAATTGGTTGGGAGGACATGTGGAAGGCTGGATGGATGGATGGATGGATGGAGGGGGGAGGGGAGGAGGGTGTGTTGAAATGTACTCACTCGTAAGATGTTAGATGTTAGCTAGCTGTATGTATGTATGTATGTATGTATGTATGTATGTATGTATGTATGTATAGATAGAAATGATGAATAGAAACGAAAGAATATGAAATTTGGCGGTTAGAGAGATTCATGTGTATGTATGTTATGGCTTTGCTTGCTTGCTTGCTTTTCTCACACTCTTTATTTGCCTTCTACTACTGCGTAGGAAGTGGGTGTTTGTAATACAAGACCCCGCTATTATGTATCGATGTTATCGATACATCCATATCATTGGCGTAATCGGTATCACGAATGTCATACTGCATCAACAAACGAAAAGGTGGGTGAAATGGCGGGGTTACACGGAATGAAGTGCATGTGGTGGAGAGGAGAGGAGGGATGGATGATACGGGAGAGGATAGATGATAGATGGTAATGGCTTTTCGATGGCTGGATGGATGGATGAATGGATGGATGGGATGGATGGATGGCACCCCACCAATCCAACAATTGTGGTTGAATCAATCAATGAAGGAATGACTTGTTTCTCATCCCACCTTCTTCTCCTCTCGTTTTTGACTTCTTCTCTTGTTGCTGAATTGGAAGTTGACTTTGAATCTGGATTTGTTTAAAGGAAAGAAGTAAGACGGATACTTTACTTGACTTTACTTTGTTTACAAAAGACTTCACATATCTCATATAGTACCTGGTTCTCTTGATGATTCATTGAAGTACACACACACACGCACACACAACACAAGAATATCTTCATCCATCAAGATTTCAATACAATAACATCACTTCTCAATAGTAAAAATGGCCCCAGTTAGTTTTTCCCTTCTTTACTCCTCTCATCTTCTCATTATATCAAATTCACATACATATACATATATATATACATATACATCTACATCTACATCTACATCTACACATTTCCCCCTCCCCCTCTACCCCGCACCCAACTAACACCCACCCCACTAGATAACCACCCTCCTCTTCGACTGCGACAACACGCTCGTGCTCTCGGAATCCCTCGCCTTCGAAGCGTGTGCCGATCTCGCCAATGAAATTCTCGAAGCCCGCGGTATCAGCGACCGCTACACCGGGCCGCAACTCCTCTCGGAATTCGTGGGGCAGAATTTCCGCGGTATGATTGGTAGCCTGAAAAGCAAATACAACTATTCCATGACGGATGCGGAGCTCGAAGGCTACGTGAGCAAGGAAGAAGACAAGGTGATTGCGAAGCTCAAGGCAGCGTTGCAGCCCTGCGAGGGGGTGGATGAGGAATTGGTGCGACTAGAGAAAGAGGGGGGATATTTAATGGCGGTGGTGAGCTCGAGTGCGTTGAGACGCTTGAAGGCGAGTGTGGAGAAGACGGACCAGGCGAAGTATTTTGGCGATCGCATTTATAGTGCTGCGACGTCGTTGGACAAGCCGACGAGTAAACCGGATCCGGCGGTGTACTTGCACGCGATGGAGAAGCTGGGGGTGAAAGCGGAAGAGTGTGTGGCGATTGAGGATAGTAGGAGTGGTGCGACGGCGGCGGTGAGGGCGGGGATTTTGACGGTGGGGTATGTGGGGAGTTATGAGGAGGGGGAACGCAAGGAGATGGAGGAGGTGTTGAGGAAAGCCGGGTGTAAGGTTTTGATGAGGGAGTGGAGGGAGTTTAAGGGGATTTTGGAGAAGATTCAGGAGGGGGGGTTGGAGAATTAGATGGGGATGTTGGGGTGAGGTAGGGAGAGGATACTTGGGAATAGGGTTTCAAAGTGTTAGATGAGAGAAGAGGAGAGAAAGATGAGAGATGAGAGATGAGATTATTATTTCTTCACACCAAAAATTTCTTTAGAGGGAAGATAGTATCACTCAAAGTTTTGAAGGAAAGAAAAAAATCGAGAATAAGAGACGTGATTAGTTTATCGATGATATCATTTTCAATCATTTCTATCATTCCATTTACCTACTTCTTTGACTTTCTGTGATTGGAGAATACTGAACCCCCTTTCTTTTCCATTCATTTTCTTGCTTCCTTCCATTCTTTTCCTCTCTTCCCTCCCTTCTCTTTTCCAATCCTTCCCTCCTTTCTTTCTTCCTCTTCTTCTCCAACACGTGATAAATATCTCACTGACATCTCGGCATACATCTTTTCCAATCTACGATCCACAACTTCCTCTATGCTCATTAGTACAACTCCCTCGAAGTCGCAAGTCGGCAGATCAAGATATCGATATGGTATACTTGGATGTCACAAGGATAGTTATTCGTGTTTGTATTTGTAGATAGGTGGGTAGGTAAGATGGATGGGTGGGTGGATGGGTAGACAGATGGGTGGATGGGTAAGCATCAGATTAATTCTGAAGTGCTGGGTGGGGTGTGGATGTGTTGGGTGTACGATTATGCGATGGGGTGATGGGAGGGAATGAGAGGGGGGATGAGGGGGGTGGAGAGGAGAAGGAGGAGGTGGGTAATGAGATACGCCGAATTGAAAATGAGTCCAAGGAAAAGTTTACTTTTGCCGAGAAGGCGGGAGGATGAGATGGAGATAGATGAAAGTATGAAATTTAAGGGGTGTAAAGGGTAATCAAGTTTCCGAGGAAGCAGAGAAGGTGAGATGGGGGATTGGTCGCTGGAAGGGAGAATGAGGATAAGAATGGAAGTTGAAGATGGTTAATAATTAATGATCAATATGCACACAAGGACAGGATTGTTTTGATATCTCAACAAGTATGGAATAATGATATTTTGTTTTTGCATTTTATCTTTTAATCTTTTTATGTGTTTTATGGACGAAGTAAAACTAAAACTAAAACCGCCATTCCTGAGTCCTCTCCCCTTCAAACGAGTGGGTTACAAACGGGTAAACCAGCAAAGAAAACAAAAGCAATGCATCAGAGTACAAACTCTCTCGAGCCTAAAAAACAGAAGAGAAATATAAACCTATAACCGCAACCCAATGCAGCCCACAAACGCCATCCCAATAGAAGATCCCTCCATATCGCCTGGGTATCTCGCAATAAAACCGCACACCAAACCCCACCAACCCCCTCCCATGTAACCTAAATACCTCTACTCGCGCGCAACTCCGCAATCTCCTTCTTCAATGCCTCATTCTGCAATGTAAGGACTTCCTTCTGGAGTCTCTCAACTTCTTCCTTCAAAGCCACAACTTCATCCACGTTGTTGCCATTATTATTGTTATTCGCAGTCTCATCATCTGCTCCCGCATCTTGCTGAGTGAGCTTCTTGATTTTTTCACCGTGAAGATTGGATCGTTCGGTTACTTCAACCACCAACTTGATCAATTCTTCAAATCGAGATTTGTGCTCGGAAGCTTCTGCATTGAGTGTGTCGACTTCGGAGCGCAATTGTGAGGTTATATTGGATTGGAATAGGACTTCTTGTTTTAGTTCTTCGACGTCAGTAGATAGGGTTGAGAGTTTTGTATCGCGTTGAATGTTTTGGGTCTTCAAATCATCGAAATCGATGCGGTGCTGTTGTACTTCTTCATAAACTTCGTCCAATTCTACTCCGAGATCGCTCACCTGGTCTTGGAGAATTGAGAATTGGTTGTTATTGTCATCGTCAATGTTGTTGTTGGAATGGTGAGAGACAACTGATTCATTGTCGAAATTATCAGTGGCCTCGATAGAGAGTCGAGGAGTGTCTTCAGCAAGAGTGACGGAATCTGTTTCATGTCTGTTGATTGGGTTTTTCTCTTGGGGGGATGCGACGCGAGGATTTTCATTTGAGCTTTGGTTCTCTGTATCATGAGTAGAGCCCTCTGATAAAGCAGGAGAAGGAGCATACGAATGAAGGATCAAATGATCAACAGTATTTGTATCGACGGAGCCATGGTGGGCTTCGAGGGAGTGGAAGACTTCAGCACGAATGGAACGTTGTGGTGATGGACTGAAAAGATTAGTATAGTTATTAACGTTGTTTTGGGGCTCCATGGGATAGTCATTGTTCGAAGTATCTGACGAGACCTGTGGATATTGATCATGGCTTGGGCGAGTGAAAAGAGAACCAAAGCTCGGAAGTTGCGGTGAGGTCTGTGAGGGTGAGGAAACAACCGAAATTCCATTGCGATGTGCTTGTTCGGTAGCAACAGCGGTATTGAGTGAACTGGCGCCACGAGCAGGAGCAACAATTGGCTTCTGTTGAATTACCAACCCAGGTTCGCCTGAATAATTGGATCCAAACGCCGTCTCAGTAGTAACGTATTGAATCCCACATGGGAATGATGCTCGAGGTCTGTTGTATTCATTGGCAGCAAGTCCTCTCGGTGTTGAAGGTGCTGCTTCATAAACCATTCCAGCAAAGGGATTTGAGCTTGCGGGAGGTCTACAATTGTTCATCTCGACATCTTCTTCGACAGGAGTGATACTGTGGTTTCTACTGGCGTAGACTCTGTTACGAGCATTGTTAAGTGTCTGGCCTGCTGCCCTAGGAGTGGTCTCATGGTGAAGTCCAAACATTTGTGTTGCACTATACTCACGTCGCTTAGAAGGTGGTGCAAAGAAATCGTCATCTTCTTCCAATGGTCGCTTTCTGCTAGAACCCTTTGAGTGTGTCCATGAAAACTTCGAGTTATTCATGTTTCCCATATGTCGGAGTAACCCATCTGCAACGCTTGGCAACATAGGTTGTGGTTGCGTTGCAAAGGAATTTTGTGGTCTGGCCCTATACGAAGTAAAGTGTTCTCGATAATTCATTCCCGGAGATTGATAATCGGGGAGAAAAGAAGGGCCCGGTGCTGGGCTTTGGGGCTGGGGTTGATAATGAGCATAAAGAGCATTCGAGGGACCGGAAGAGCTTGGGTTAAAGCTTGGGCTTCTGGGGGCAAATTCAGGAGAGTGTTGGTTGGTAAGGCCTGCAGTAGCGAAGGCTGGGCTTGCGGGAGTAAATTCAGGAGATGAGCTTAACTGGCGCTCGGGTGCTGGTCTTGCCATAGCTGTAAGTGGCTTTCTTGAGGTATGAGGTGGTTGCCATGGCCAAGAGCGACCTGTTGCGTTTCCGCGAGACATTCCGTGATGTTGAGTAGTAGACTGAACACTGTTAGCTTCTATTATTTGAGGAATGGAGGTAGATAAACTTACATCAGTTCCAGAGACATCGTCTAATCCATCTTCAGAGCTGTCTCTGCCACCAAGGATTGGGCTTCTGGCGGGAAAGTAGTTTCTCGCATACGCGAAGTTTCTCTGGCCAAGGACAGGGCTTGAGACTTTTTGATTTGTGTATGACATTTTAGCTGTAGCTATAGATGACAGGGGAATTGTGGATACGTTTGATTGCTTCGTAGCTAATTTGTACGATACGAAATGACGTATGCAAATCTGAGTAGGCAATGATTAGCTTTGCGATGTGTGGAAGCAAATAGAGAATTGACTTTGAAAGATATATGGAAGGTTTGATTTTGGATAGCAAGGAGGAAGAATGACGAGATTGAATATAATACTTACAAGAAGTGAACCTGAGTGCTCGTTAAAGAACTCTGGTTCTTACGGTATTCGGATGAAGTTGTAGTAGATATCCTAAACTTAAGTACTTTCAAAGAACTCTCGTTATGATGATATCCAGAAAATGGTTGTAGTAGATAATCTTCGATGTTGTTGTGTATGAAAGAGGTTGTTGTTGAGTCTCCGTTAAGAAAGTTGTCAGACGGTTGAAGGACTTAAGAAGTTGAAGAATTTGAAGAAGGGGAAGAAGTTTTTCAAGACTTGAAAAGTTGAAAAGTAGAAGAGGATGATCTTAATAAGTAAACTCAAAACTCGTCTCCTAGTGCTAGTACAGTAGTACTACAGGTAGCGTCAAGTGTCAAATTTTCCAATTCACTTGGCGGAATTTGGAAGATTGGATGGGTGGAAGGTAGAAATGAATTGGTAGAAATGTTCGGTTTGGTAGTAGAATGTTGGAAGTTTGGTAAGGTTGGATGTTCGGTAATGTTGGTACGTGAGATGTTACTGAAAGTATCTTGTATTTTTGAGAAAGCAGTGTGCGAGTTGAAAAGCTATATACGAAATTGCATAATCGCAATACAGTCAAGCGCCGCTAGTGTTCGCGAGAGATACTGGTCGGCCGTAGGTATGTGGCCAAGAAATGATATTCATGACATTACGGTGAATGGTACGGTGGATGGTACAGCTCATGTATTGGCGGGACTTGGTTGGTTGGTGGAAGACCACACATGTAGAGAGACGATTGGGGAATATGTCTTTCTCCTAGAAAGGATTGGTTATTGAATCATACATCTTCACCATGAGGAAGTGAAAGAGACAACATCTTTCCTTCGCACGTTTGCAAATAATGTGGAGTTCTTTGCCACAACGAGTGATCCTTTGGTCAATCGTTTTGTCTGGAACATGCTCAGGACTTTGTAAGCGTTTGTTCATTATGGAACCATGAATTTACCTCAGATATTAACCCGCAGTACCAACTACATCACTGTCGACACTGAATGTATATGAGAGGTTAGGATCTGAGAGGACATATATTCATGTTGATCGTGGATTCGAACAGCACTCTTTATAGCTGAAATTCTAGATTAAATTGATCAATCAATCAAGGCTTCCAGTTGAATCTCAAATAAGCATAACCAAGTTCCTGCGCTTAGCAGGGAGAGAGAGAGAGTTTATGAAAAGTTATGTAGGAAACATATTGCTATATATCATCAACACGTAGATGATTTCAATCACCCATCGAACCTATGTCGTTACAATGTGCATATGTGGCTTTTCTGTCAAGGATGTGAATCTCCAAATAGCCTATTGTCATCCAATGAAATAATCTTCATGTGACTTCCAAGTATTTGTTGCACATCTGAAGAGCAGGGTGCTTAGTTTCGAATTTCCAATGGAGGTTTTATGATTAATCATGCTTGAATTCCCAATTTACTCCAGATCTGTTAAGATCGATGATTATATATTATCTATTCTTTCCCTTCTCTTCATCTCGAGAATTCATTCCCACTTCACTTCTATCTCTACAACCCTGTCTCCCATGTATCAGATCCCCCCTTCCTGAGTACCTGTTCTGTGTATCCTCAAGATTTGGTACTGCTGCCTCTTTTTGATGTCTTTCCTCTTGAATCTTTCTTTGATACTTCAGTTCTTGTGAACTATGAAAAGTCGAGTCGAGTTAGTAACATGAATACAAAGTTACCAGTATGATTATGAAGAAATCATCACAAAATACATACAGCGAGAAATATTTACAGGTCAAAAATGAAGCACCAGCAATATATGTATTGACGACTCCCAAGAAGCTGCCGAATCTACTGCTATAGGCAAACTTGAAGTTCATTGAGAATATTACGATGATGGATTGTATTCAATATTGATGATACAATTAAAATATGATAGTGGAGAAGTGTAAGCGTGGGATTGTGCAGATGTATGTGGGATAATGTGGCAGGGAAAATTCCTCAATCATGACGAGGATATCTAGTAGTTTTGGGGATTTCAGGAGCGGGGCATTTTGAGTACATTACATGACAGCGTACTTATCTTCTTACAACTTACGAGTTTCAGATGACTTGAAGATCAATGATTGGCATTGCTTGTATTCCAGTCTACTGTGGGTTTGATGCCTTGATCATCCTGGAATATCATTGTTCACGACAAAATATCTCAATTGATTCGTTTCCGAGACTCTCTATCTAACAAGCTTTTTCCTACCTTTACCATGCACTTCAACTACAAGTTTCAGAGAATTAGTAGTGGTAAATGCGGACTAGAATGGTGTATCACCCCTTAGATTAGACCTCAGAACTGTAAGATTGTGGTTTTAACTTTGTAAATTTCCAAGTTTAGAAATAAGAACTACGTGAAGGGATTGAGAATTTGGGCTCACAAGCTAATAAGATCACACCCAACTACAAGCCAGAGACAATCAATAAGAACATGCCCTCTGATCACTCCTATCAATCGAGTCCATCTTTCATATCACGAACTTAAAGCCTTACCACCATCTCTGGCACATCTGGCTAATCTATCCCATACCAATGATCACCAGCAGCCACCCCACTTCTCTTGGTAGATTTTGATCTATCTAAACCGTATCATCCTTACCCAAATCCATGAAAGGCAGTACTGCTATTGTATTGAATGGCCATAGGGTCGCTCATCAAGGAGATAAACTTTACTAAAGCCAGGGAACTTAGTTGTCTTTTCAACGAACTGGATATTGAATTCCAGAAAAAAGAGACACGTGTAGTTCTTGGATCATAGTCCCTTCAAATATTTTCAGACAAGAATTGATACCTCAAATATACATAAAATCGCCTAAGCAATCAAGAAGGTCAATCTAGAGGTGAATAAGTCGAGAAGTATCAAGGGAAACTATCTACAACACTGAGAAAAATCCGATTATTGTTGTAAGATTGAGAGATTGGTATAGGCACATGAGAATACCTGCCCGTTCTGTCAGTATCTACTGCTAGTCGTATGAATAAACAGAGTCTAGTAATCTTGACGACAGCGATATATTCAGGATCTGTGGGCACTGTGTATGAACTCTAAAATTTGGATGAGGTTAAACAGCCTCGCCTAAACTTGCTTTGTCTGTGGAGCCTTTCCATGCCCCACCACTAGCTGAAAAGCTTTGACACTTAGTGCTCTTTATCTCGTGGCAAGGAAATATATTTTATTAAAAGCACCATCCTCACATCAAATAACCAGGTCGCTTAGCTCAGTTGGTTAGAGCGTGGTGCTAATAGATCCTGAATACTTCAGTCTCTGAAACGCCAAGGTCGCGAGTTCGACCCTCGTAGTGATCATTCATCTTTTGCCATTTCTTTTGCATCACAAATGATTCGAAATAGTCGAAGGATGGCTGAGATATTGGAGGATTCAAGTTTTTGATGGTGGGGTGGCTGGTACGCCGGTGCAAAAAACTGGTGGGGCACGCGCCGCTTTTGTGAAACGTGAGACTTGTGAGAATATGATATTGAATGTTGATAACTGATGTTGAGAATTAGATTTCTTTTTTCTAAAGATTTGATGTTATGCTATTGAGAAAAAATCTCCTTTTTTTTTTTGACTAACTTACTTGCAAAGTAATATTCCAGTTTTGGAAGCCCCTGAAAGTAGACGACTGATTGTGCTACGAGCCAAAGAAAGAAGGAAGAGAAAAACATAAATCCCAAAAGCAGCACGAATTAAATGCAACAATGGTAAGTAACCACATGAAGATACACCAACCTGAACTTTGTCTAACTAGCAACATTGTGTTTATATACAACATAAAACTCCATATATCCAATTGAAATCTGTCAACTTATCATTCTTCATATAGATGACGAGCAACAGAATTCTCCATTGCATGACTGTTAATATCCCGGGACCGTATGAACATTGGATGGATCTGGCAACGTACTCTCCTCTACATTCAGCAACTCCAAATACCTAATAAGATAGAGTGCACAATAGAGATGGAAGCACTTGATTTTATTCATTTTCTTCAGATCACATAGGACCGAGCTTGTAGACGTTACGATTGTGTTCTCTGACCATTCTCATACATGTTGGAATACTTTGGAAGACATCGTTTAGTGTTCGAGATAATGACTTTGAACAGAATGGGATCGGAGTATGTCTCTGGGAGTGGAATGAAAACTATGATCTGAAGATGTGGAAGTCAATGGCGTATAACTCGGGGCCATCAGAATTAGTATCACTTATCATAAATAAGTGTGATACTACTACTCGTGATATCTTGGTTAATGTTCCTGTTCCTCTCTCCTTTCTTGAGATTGTACAGGTTGGGGGCATGGACTGACGGGAGGATATAGAACTGACACGGAAGAATAATCGAGTTGGGCGGAGAAGTCATTCACAGCGAAGTATACAAGAGATAGAGATTGAAAAATGAGAGGTTTTCAGAAAGGTGACGAGATGCTCAACATCGCCTCCCCAGAATGATAGTCATCCAGATCTCTCCTCCCACAATGAGAATAACAGAAATTCCATATAACAGCATTCCATCTATGATTATACAACACGCCACACAACACCACATCACATCCCATACAATCCAACACCTCTCAATCTTTCTAATTCATCCCCTCGAATCAAGCTAACACCCCCACAGCAATATATCAAAGATCTCTTCATCACTCCATACTCTCTAATTAGTAATTACAACACATAGAACCTACCCCCTATCCTTTACCAAAAACCATCCGCAACAGGCTCACTCCCATCCCAGTCCATTCCAGTCTATCCAATACGATTTCTCTCATCTAATATACTATACATATACTTCACCTCAAAGTTAAGTTAAATCTCCATCAAATCTCTACCCCCCCAAAACATCCCACCCATCCACAGTAAGTAATCGAGAGCATCCCGCGACAAGCTCCAAGTCATCACGTCAAGACAAACGAAACTTTCGACTCTTGACTCTTGACTCCCAAGACGAGGAACTTTGAACTGCGTATTTGTAATTTTATATATGGTATACATCCACCACACCACACTCTTTACATTCAATCCTCCACTAAACTGCCCATCAAATATCGATCACTCCAACAAGATATCCCAATCCCAGCATGGAAGTCCACTCTTTCCCCCTTTCTCCCTCTCCCCTTCCACTTCCCTCCTCTCACCAACCCGCGCACAAGACAATCCGATCATTACCAAGTAGATGGGCCATGAAGTTAAGAAAGAAAAATCAAACCCGAAGATTTCCAAGTAATCCATATATCTATCTACCTTCCCACTCCCAAGACAATACCAAGAACCGACTCCTGATTTTCTATCTAAGCCTATTAAATTTATAAATTAGATACTCCATCTAAGATCCAGAATTTCTGCATCCTCTCTAGAATATGACTTCTTGCCACATCATATCCTCAGACTTCCTTCCAACTTCAAAAGCTATTTCGGAAGATTTATATCCAAAGAATCGAAAACATATTCAGGGTACAGATTCCAGACACAAAAATAAGAATAAACATAAAATTAAAACTCATCAATCAATCAATAATTTCTGGAAAAACGCCAGCTACAACTGGTGGTATGGTATTATATGCACATAAAAACACTTTCCTTCCTCCCTCCTTCCACCCAACCATTCCCTCCCGTCAGACCCATCTCCTTTTGTCCAGTAGTCAGAGTCAAGACTCGCCTGCCCAACCATTCATTCATGTCATCATCAATCAAGATCTAATCTTCCTCCTCCCCTTTCTTCACCCTCGAGCCGACTTTTCATTTGTTCGTTCGATTGCACAATTACACAATTGCGCACTAGCTCACAACGTCCACCTATTCCATATGCCCCTCATTAAGCACCATCTCCAACACAATTTGGTTCCCCACAATTTCCGGATGTGCCATTGCCAACTTCAACGTCCTATTCATAGCTCCTCCCGCGCCACCCATCGGATTCATAGTAGCCATAGAATTGGCGCCTGCTCCCTGAGGGTTTGTACCCGCATCAAGACATCTTACATCACTACCCGCAATAACCTGTCTCAATCTACCATTCTCTGCATTCCTCACTTCGACAAAATCGCTATCGAAGAGTACCAAGTAGGCACCATACATAGCCGCCGTTTTAGCTCTTCCTACGAATTCCATTATGACGGATCGAGATACTTCACCATGTTTATCGACATAGACACCACATTCCGCATAGCATAGAAGGAATTCAGAATCAGAAAGCCTGAACATACCTAGAGGTCTTTGACCTTGGAGTCGAGCGGCTATGGATGCTATGTTTTGATTTTTGGTATCTGGGATACTCATTGGTACTTTCTTGTCGAGGGTCAAGAGTTCAAATCCTTTTTGAGTCGAGATGGCAATGTATGATTGGAAGAGATTGATGGTGAAACACTCGGTTGGAATATAAAATTCGTCGAATTCACGGAAAAATTCAGTATTGCCACCGAAACGTTTACCAAAAAGACGAGACTTTTTCTCCGAGGATTTTTGAACAACTGGCTCTAGAACTTTGAAGACGGAGTGAAGACTCTCCTTTTTCTTGTAGAAGACTAGGGTTCTTTCTTTCATACGAGCTGTAGCGAAGAATGATACGTCGCGAGCACCGGAGAGCTTTTGAGGTGCTCGTCGAGATGAGTCTGTATTGGTCCCAGGAAAGTTTGAAGCAGGAATGATTACGTCGAGATGATATGCAACCAAAGATTTGTCGGCAATGATGATGCACAGGGAGAAATCTTCGAGAATGGCGATTTGTGTAACTTTGGGCATTTGAATAGTCTATCAGAATTAGCTTAAAGTTTGTTGAAATTGGTAGTAGGTTGTACTTACTCTTGACCATCCTCGAGGATTCGATGCCTCAGAGATATACACCCCATAATCTGTTCCAATTGCAATCAAAAGTTTCCCATATGACATAAACGATACTGCGCAGTTTACTTGAGCTCTGCATACCGGAGATGGCCGAGGTTTTGATCCACAACTGTGTTCCATATCCCTGACAGCTCTATCTAGTGGTGTACCAGAAATAGAGATGAAAGCCCTTTGCTGATAGATCGTCGAGTTGTCATAAGCAAAAGCACTATCAGCAACAACTTTAAGACGGAAAGGCTCAGCATTTTGTGCAAAAAGAGCCGCTGCATAACGAGTTTTTGCTTCGATTATCTTATCACACCACTTGTCTCGATTTGCGGCCGATGGAGCATATAGAGTATAAACTTCGGCTTTGCCCAAATGCTTGATACGGAATGGATACATGACCTTTGCATCGTTATCATTCAAATTATTCGAATTAAGTCTTGTCACGGAAGCTGTAGTTGAGACTGAATTATTAGAGTTTGTATGCTCTAATGTTTGCATTCGCTCAAGTCCGCTAGTAGCATTCGTGGCAGTACGCATTAACCTTGCTTCGGCAGCGTTTGCTGGGGCAGTCTTGGCGACAGTTGTCGTGACGGCTCCAATACCCTTCACAGCGGATTTCTGCACTGGATCATCGTCACTGCTCTCGAGGACTAAGAGCTGCATTGGAATCGGCTAGAGTACATGTCAGTAATGCTATGTAACTGGGGATTAGTCAACACTCACAAGTTTTGATACATCATAAACTTCCTTCTTCCGCAGACCATTGGCATCTCGTTGAATAACACTCTTGGCTAAAACAAAGTAATGATCAAAGAGGATAGCATGAGTTTCCAACCAGGTGAATCGATTGTTACCTGCACGCTGCAAATCTCCTCTATGAAGAAGCTCACGGCCTAGATGATCCAAATTGAGCTCGACACGCTCCATACCCGGGCGCAGATAGAGCTTCGACTGGAGCTCAATCATATCAACTTTTCTACTCTGTTCCTCAACCTTAGCATCACACTCTAGGGTGACTGCCTTGATTTCTTCAATGGCTATCGCTAGAGTTGCTTTCTCGTCGCTCTCTTTGGTCATATTTTTGAGAACAGTACCAAGGAGGAGACCATAGCGCTGCAACCTTGTGATCGGGGCCTTTAAATATGTATTCCAGTCTAGACGACCGGAGAGCTTGTTGTCTCGAGCTTGGTCTAGAAATTGGCGGAAAAGAATATTTCTGTCTGCTTCTCTTCGAACAAGATATGTGGCGTATGGGAACCCAGCAGCATATTCGATATATGCGGACTTGGCCTTCCTTATCCATTCTCTGAAAATGTCGCTGAAGCCCGTCACCCAAGGTCCTTGCTCTTTTTGTCTGTACTTCAATTGTGCAAGTAGATGATTTTCGTTAACATCTTTAATGGCTTCGACTTTTCCAAAAACAGAAGCAACAAACTTCGTAATCTTCGTTTTTGCGATGATGGGAGGTTGCCACGAAGCAAGATTGTCTCGATATAATATGCGTAACACGTTAATCTGATCCATGTAGATATCCTCCGACATGACTATCTCATGGAGGTTATTCTGTAACTCAATCTCTTTCTTGGTTACACCCCAAGGATTTCCTTTGTTAGCTTAAAGAAAGTGATCCAGTCCTCGGACTTTCTAGATGGCTCCAGAGTTTGGGACTGTAAGTTGATCTTCTTTAGTGTGCGAGTGCAATGATGTGAATAACATCGTCCCTCGATTTCATGTTCATGAACCTTTGGCGCATAGCATCCTGACCCTGTCAATTGCCATAATACACCGGATACTTCACCTTGGCCAAATTTGACCCATTCTTCATCTTTCACCAAAATCCCAGCGTCGAACATAGACTTTACGACTTTTTCACTAAGGGTTTCGGCATCAGCCGTGTTCATGGTTGGTACCATGTGGGTGAACAGGGCTATAAGGCCATCTTCGATAGTCTTTACTCGGAGATCTGATTCGCCTTCTCCCGTCTCCCCGCCAGCCATCTCTCGTATCCAGCCTGCAATTCCACTCAAAGCCCATGGCTCCGTACACCTTCGGAATTCGGCTGTTGATAACCTTCCGGGTGAAAACTTCTTACGACGGCCGGCTGGTAAGGCTGGTAGATCAAGCGTCCCTAAAGAGGCCGGAGTAGATGCATCATAACCATCTAGTCCCGCGGCCGAGCGAAGCATAGATTGTCTATTGCCCTTTGCTCTGGCTTGACGCTCCTCGGCATCTGTTTTCGAGCGGACGGGAGGTATGGTTTGTGCAGTATTGCTGTGACTATGAAGAGATGATGATCTGGGAACATATTGAAGGGCAGGCTGAAGTGTATTTTGTGGGTATGCTTCCGGTCCACTGGGAGGACACGGCCTCACGCTGTCGACACTGGAAGAGTAGGAGTGTGAATAACCGTGCGAATTGCGGTAAGAGCCAGCTGGTTGTAATTGCGGTGTCCTATTTTCGGACATTGGAGGAACTGCGGGAAGAGGCCTTTGGTAAGGTCCTGGAGTCATCCCCGGATGGTAGAACATATCTTGAATTTCATCTCTCGGGGGGCTATCACTTCCAGACCTACCACTTTGCCGAGAATCTAAAATTCGAGATTGAATTGAATTCTCATCACCTTCGTCGAAGCTCAACCGGTGGGCATGAGAAGTTGGCCTTTCTAGGCCGCCTGTACCGTAGTTATCAACCCTGGCTTCTTCAAAAGCAGGGAAGGGATGAAGTTCACCCTCGCCGGGCATGGAGTAGTCAGCCATTCCTCCCAAACCACCTCTTTGAGCGCGACTATCAGAACGACCAAGTTGGTGTGGTGTCGGTAATGGTCGACTTTGATCTTCCATCTCACTGCTATGCTCCGTACTCATACCAGCAAAATCATCTCCATAAGACATATGTGCGTCGTAGCCACCGCCAGCGAGGCCTAAATCCATACCTTTGTAATCACTATCACTACTTTCCCCTTGAGGTAGCTGAGTTTGATGTGATGGTTGTCCCTCGTAATATGATGGTTGTCCTTCGTACGGTCCACCAAAACTTAAGCCCCCCGAACCTAGTCCATGGGATTCTTGTTCTTCGGCAATGCGCATAGCTTCGAGGCCAGCAGCTGCTTCCAAATCGCTTTCGTCATCTTCGTAATCATCGTAAGAAGTTCCCTCGGTATGTAATGTAGAAGCTGTAGATGGAAAACGGTCAACGCCAGCACCAGAATGAACAGTAGTTGCTCTTGAGTCATATCGATGTAATTCACCATCCAGAAGGTCTCCATTCCGGTGGGAAGTTCCAAGGGCATCTCCAATATCCGCAAAGATTTGTTCTTGGGCAAGTTCTTCATCTGTCTTACCTTGTATTCCTAGACCCCAATCATCTTCATCTCCGGTACCTTGTTCCATTGGCGCACTAGGTAAGGGTCTTTGCGTTGGGTGTCTCTGTAGTGTGGTCCCAGGAGAGGCAGGCATAGGTATCACGGGGGCATTTGAAGAATTTGTCGAAGAACGTTTGGGCGGAGGAATAGGAGGGATTTCTTGAGGTATGGAGTCAATTGAATTCTCTCGAAGAACACCACCGGGAAAATTCGGGTATGTGGGCATTTGCGTAGTTCTCCTGTAATCATAGTCGTCTTCAGCAAAATTGTCCCCGTTAGTTGGATATGGAGTTGTAGAAGGCGGTGGATTATATGAAGCCTGCCTTGGGGGTAATGGAGCCGAGTGAGGAGCATAGCTTGGACTTCTCAAAGGTGGCGAGTCCATGTAACTTTCATATATAGCACTTGCGCGAGCTGGAGGCGATGAAGAAGAAGAATTGTATGACCAATAGGATGCCGATGTAGAGGTAGGAGTTTGCGCATAGGAATTGTTGTAATTGTTGTACGCAGAGGCAGTAGACGAAGCGCGTGTAGGATATTGCGAGGGCTGATAAGCTGCAGGATTATACGGTTGATGATTAGAAGATGTAGAGTTTGAGTATTGGTGTTGACTGGAAACACTCGGGCTATATGAGGGTTGAGGGCGATATTGTGAAGGCTGCGAGTGCGACTGAGACCTGGCAAAGTTCTGAGGGTTATATGCAGGCTGTTGGGGAAGTGAGGGGGACTGAGATCCGTTCAAAGGCTGGTATTGATGTTGATATCCCGACAAAGCGGGACTACCAGGTGTTCCAAATGACGATCTGCCAGGCGATTGTGGGCTCATTGAGTTATTTGGCATGTATAATTCTTCTGATGGCATTGAAGCCCTCGCCGATGATGGCGGGGCAGGTTGGTATCCGCTATTACCCGGGTCGAAAAATGCAGCATCATCTCCATTGTCAAAACTAGACTGCCTGTGCAAGCCTTGACTCGAGTTATTCGAGGGTTGACCTGTTGGTGCACCGTATTGTGCTGGAGGTACATGTCCGTAGCGTCGCCCACCATTTGCGTGGAAGGACATGGTTGCGATAATCCGAATCTGCGCAAGACCTCAAGTTCCTAATAAATTCGTATGTACAGTAACAAATCTGGGAATCTGCGAATCGACCAGCCAGTTTATTATGATCGTATCTTAGTTTCTGAGCATCTGGCTTGCTCCGCGCGATTAGACCGTCGAGATGATTCCCATTTGCTGCTCGTTGGGGGAGATTGTGCTTAGGGGGAAGACAGCTAATCGGTCGATTTTAATGGAGCGTGAGCGAGTGTCGAGTTTGCCAGAAAATCAAGAAACGTCGTCGTCTCAATGCTGAGCTTATGCGCGGTGTCGTGTAAAAATGCTTGCTTGCCCAGGTTTTGCGACAATGTGGGAGATTTCAATACGGGCATTCGGAGTCTCCGTATCAAAGCAATGCAATCTCGACTGGGGACTAACAACTGATCCTTTAGATTTTTCGGCGGGGGAAGGGAATGCTGTGATGATAAGCCAAGGTTTCCAAAAAGATCAAGATATTGGGAGTAGTTATTTAAATAAAAGCGAGCGACTGAGTAAGTAACAAGTGAGTCAAGTAGAAGATGGTATAGCCTTGTATCTTTTGTCTTATTTAAGAATAGGTAGGTATGTAGTTCTATGTGTTTGTTGTCTGTGAAGTCGTATATGCTTTTGATTTTGATTTTGATTTTGGTCTTTATCTCTGTATACTAGGTAGGTAGGTAGGTAGGTAGGTAGGTAATATGTATTATTACATTGTACTATAAGATGTTCTGGAGCAGCTGAGTGTCGTCGCAAGCTCTCGAATGTTGATTGGTTTGATTGACCACCACTTTTAAAAAGGTTATTTGTGCCCAGATGTAATTATAATAATAAGATCTAAATCATTGTAAGATTAAATTCTATATCTAGACCTTTCTTAATTATTGATCAATGGGGGGAAAGGACTTTGTACGCGTCAAGCAATTCAATCAATCAATCAATCGATCAATCAATCAATCAATCAATCAAGAAGCTCACTGTCTTGGTATTCATTCGTTCGTTTGTTCATTCTTTCATTCATAAATACATACTACCTAATAAGTAGGTGCCTTCATACATTCATACATCGCAACCCTTTTCCCATTCAAATAGGAATATTGTCAATCAATGTCTTTGCTATTCATTCATTCTTACCATTCCATTGGGGTCACGACTTCAAAAGACTTCGCCCCGTTCACACATTACCATCCAGGGTTATATTACATCAATGATGAATGGCACAGTAAAAAGAAAGGAAAAAGAACGGGTTAAGCCTCATGGTAGGGCTGTGTGTGTGTGTGGCTAACATCAATCAAAAATGCAAGACGACGGCACAAAATGCAGATACATGTATCCAAGGTAAGCTATAATCTAGGATCTGATGTTGGATTCTCTGTCATAGCATACCTACTTCTGTCAATCATGTCAATCATGTCAATCGTCTCAAGTAAGGTTATTCTTAACTGTGATCGGGTCCCCAATCCGAAGCTCTTAGGTTAGAGGAAGTACAGGATCAATGATATCAAATATTGATCGTCAATCTTGTACCAGAAGAGGTTTGAGAAGGATTCAGGGTCTCCAGTAGTTCTTCATCCCGAACTCCTTAAAGTCACACTCCACGTGGATCCCATGTGATGAAAGAGAAGTTGGTAACATCAAACTTGAGTATCAGTTCAGATTTCAGATTTCAGATTTCAAATTTCAAATTTCAGAGCACAGAGAAAACATTGGATCGAATGTTTATTGGTATCAACAAAGACCACTTGCTTCATTCTATCCTCACATTTATTGGCATTCCAATTTCTTCCACATTTCGCCATTCATCAGTTTAATCTTACAGCCATGTCTATAGAGTATCCCTACACGTGTCACCACTGATTCACAATTCGCCAGCGCATGGTCAGATTTTAAGATATCTGTGGGCTCTGGTAGCCAAGTTCGCCAAGTAATTCTTTTGATAAGAAGCTCTCCAACGGCTCTTGCTTAGTACTTAGCCCTATGTGGAGGTTTGGGCAGAATGGTGTTCAGAAATCCTTTCAGTCGTTTTACTTTCCCGAAGCCCCTATTGATATCCTCCTATGAACTGACAGCGTTGACTTTTCCATGATCGCGGAACCTTCACAGACAAAGGAAGTATGAGGAACACTGCTGTATTATGTGTCTTGGCATAATAATCCAATTGATCACGAAAATTGCGAACCTTACAACAAAAGCCCTGGCGCTTGAAATTCAGGGGTAAAGAGGCGCTGCTTTTTGTACATTAAGTCACTATGTACTCACCACCTTGGCTTGCCGTGGCAATAAGGAAGGCCAATTATCGTGAATACCATATTATCATACTGATGATTGCCAGTGGCATGGAGTCGTATGAATGGGAACATATTTGAAACGGTGGCTGAATGTGGGCAAGGATATCCTCAGGCTTCTCTGCACAGAAGGAGAGCATGAAAACTACCGTGAAACTGGCGGCAGCACATATCTTTGCTGTACATGGTATGATTTGGCGGTATATGCCTATGCGGCTACGGGAATTCTTCACTTATATGCGCTGTGGTGTCGAAGCTATTGACGATTACAATATCGGTGCCTGGTAGAAACCCAGCAAGGAATACAATTGCTGGAGGAGTTCTCTCCTCTGGCTCTCGATATAAGCAAATACGGGCATTGTTGATTTATTAGCATCTCAGAAAGAAGTAGTGGCCGGGCGACGATGGAGGAGACTCTGAAGAGCGACGCTTTGAGAAGGAGCACCAGAGCATTAGATTGAGATATTCAAGACTCGTTGTGCCAGCCAGAGAGTTTCGAAGATCGGCACACTATTTGTCGATACATTTCAGAAATGCAGCTTCGAGATTGAACTCAATTCTGAGCATTTACATGTTGTTAACTACTCACCTGGTACTGTGAAGTTATTAGCCTTCCATCGACGTCAGTGTTGGACAACTACGAACGATTATGTAATCTCACAGCAACTGATTCGTCCGGTGTTCGGAAATAAAGATGATTGAATTGATAATCGTGCAGATGAATTGCCATTTACCAAACCCCACTTTTGTTATGGAATGTTCAAAGCTTCCAACGAGTTCCCACCCCTCTTTCTTTCCTATTCTACTGTTTCTTGCAATCGACAACAACTTCCAAATTCTTATTTAGAACCTCCAAAACTCCCAAATCAACAGATTTAAGAACATACTCCATCAAAATGGTTAAAGCAGGTACGTTTTACATCTGTCATGTCGATTTCTGCCGTCCCCACCCCACATATTTAATGCTGTAGCCAATGGCGGGGTCAGCTAGAGAGCTTTTGAGCACATTTCCTCTGTCCATGGGATACCCGGATGGGTAAACTATCTCCAATCAAGCATCTAATCTACATCATCCTCATATCTTGCATTTCTTCTCTATCTTTCATTGTTTCACGCTCTTAAATATGGCATGAAAATACACACTAACCCTGGTTCTTTCCATTTCAGTTGCTACCGTCCGAGGTGACTCCAAGGTCTCCGGTACCGTTACTTTCGAGCAATCCGAAGAGAACTCCCCAACTACCATCACATGGAACATCACCGGCAACGATGCCAATGCTGAGCGTGGCATGCACGTTCATCAATTCGGTGACAACACTAACGGCTGCACATCTGCCGGTCCTCATTGTACGATTCTCAAGCTTTGGATGGAATATACATACAACGGAACATAAGGCTAACTCGGTATTCTAGTCAACCCACACGGTCAGACCCACGGTGCTCCTACCGATGAGGTTCGCCATGTAGGTGATCTTGGAAACTTCAAGACTGATGCCCAAGGAAATGCTACTGGTTCCGTTCAAGACAGCCACATTAAGTTGATTGGTCCATTGAGCGTCATTGGCGTATGTATTCTCTCGCATCATTGATATACAAGTACTGACAGCCCTTTCAGCGTACCGTTGTTGTCCACTCCGGAACTGATGATCTCGGTAAGGGAGAGAACGAAGAGTCCAAGAAGACTGGTAACGCTGGAACCAGACCAGCTTGTGGTATGTTATTCATTCACTGAACATGCAGGTGTTGGACACATGACTAATATTTCCCTAGGTGTTATCGGTATTGCTGCATAAATGGTGTAGCACACAAAATGGTATGCAACGAAATGATACGATCTGATGACAATGGAAAAGGGGTATGAATAGTTTAGCTTAGTTTGCCTGCTGTGTCTAGTTTCAACAGAAAAGCCGTCGTTTACTCCAATGATTTTGATCGACTTATGATGTATGAATTATTGAACCGAACAGAAAAAAGCTGTGTTCATCTCAGCTCCGACGTCGATGATTGCATTGTAAGCTTGATTCGAGTGTTCAATACTGTTGTATATGATTTTTACAAATTACCATATGTAATTAAGCTCCCGTTAACCGGTTCTCCCGCCATTGAGGTTTGCTTATCATAACTATTTGGCTAGGGAGACACTCGAGTATCGAAGTGAACATTATTCTCCATCTTCACTTCAGTTGCATTACATCAAATGACAACAGATTTCTCATCTACCTACCCAAGACAGTGTACGTTACATATGCCTCTCAGCTGGCTGAAGGCTAACCATACATTTCGAACATGATCTCCGGACAGCATGGATCAAAGCTCCATTGAAATACATCTTCGCTTCATGCACCAATGATCTCTTCAAGATCATTACCCCACATCAAGGGTTCAATGGGACCTTACAGTAATGGAATTATATAAAATGTAGCCTCATCTAAATGGATGATGAAGCTCCAAGAGAACACTTGACCTCTTTCCATCTTCATCAGTTGACCATCTAATTTACTATTTAAAAAGCATTGGAATACCTGATATATTCGATTCTTTTGCTCATTGAATCTAAAATTGTATTCTGCATATTTTTACCATCTATTGCATTTTACCGGATTCCTTATGTAAGTTGTACAATATTCCCTTTTCCTGCTTCCCCTCATCCTCATCTCCATCCTCATCCTCACCCTTACCCTCACCGCATATGTATACAAGAACTGC